TATTACCGCCTTGTACAATCCAATACACCTGAGCTGATATTATGCAGAGTTATTCAACGGTTTCGAGATTTCCATAATACCTACGCTATCGCGAAACCTTATTGATTAACAGATATACGCGTGGACACGACGTGTGACTTCAGGCTGATCGACCAATCAAAACGTTATCAGGTTGACCTGCATAAGCAAAGCAATCTTCCCGATTTGAAATTCAATGATCTGATCGATCGTTTCTTTAGAGTTACAATGCATTATGTAATTAAATGTACATAGGGAATGTAAGAGTCATTAATATAAATTAAATCATGCAATAGATTTAAAACTGATTTCGCGATGAAAATGCAAGACCGAGTCCAATGTAGCGGGTCATGTAGGTAGTCATTACTTCCTGCGAAAGCTATTTGGATTTTGATATAATAGCTTTCCCACGGAGCATTTGGACAGCTCAGTGATCGTGACCTTTGAAATCGAATTAAGTAGATCCGCGGCTTACTTTTGGTCTCTAACTGTGTCTTACATCAGTATCATCAATCCGTGTAAGTATTGGAGCGCTGGAGTACTTCTTTTTCGATCAAGACTTGTAATTGTTAGGTCGAGTGAATCGTTTTACTGCCAAATTCCAATATGGCGGTTTCTGCTCGGACATTTTCGTAAATCTCCGGAGGTTGTCCGAACCTAACTAATTCTCAAAATTCATTTCGTTCGTTGCGTATCTCGCACCTAGCAAACCGCCATATTGGAAATAGGTCTGTAAAACTTTAACTCGATGAACAATTTACAAGTCTTGATCGAAAAAGAAGTACTCCAGCGCTCCAATACTTACACGGATTGATGATACTGATGTAAGACACAGTTAGAGACCAAAAGTAAGCCGCGGATCGACTTAATTCAATTTCAAAGGTCACTATTGATCAGCTGTTCACTTCTCCGTTTGAGAGCCATAAGTTTCAAAATCTAACATGGCTCTCGAAGTGAGTAAGGTAGTCAGTGATTGAATCTCAGCCTACATGTTCATTTGAATTCAGCGATCGTTTCAACGTTTATTGTTGAAATCTTCTCACCTCAGGTTACCGATCGATGCTCCGGCATCCACTAAACTCTGATTGATATTTATCTGATAAAATATTTGTATTTTCATGATGAATTCATGCAAGATTTGTTCGTGAAAAGTCCCGGCGAAAAGTAAAAAGTGTACTTGTTTTTGACCGTGCATAATAATGAGCTAACGCTGCAGGGCCGTCGTTGATTGGTCAAATTTTACCGACATAAACATTGAGTCGGTAAAGCACGTGGCTTTCTCTTTGGTACAAGGCGGTCATAATAGAAATCAAGATAGTAAAAGAGACCGACTTGGGCAAGGCTAGTAGGGGGGCTAAAAGAGGGGTTTACCGCCACCTGTCCTTTATTAAATCAGATACCTCATCTTAAACACCAAGGTTGATGACAATACCAAGTTTAAGTCATTGTAAGTTGCAGGTTCATGAAGTTGACTTTTTACCCCCCCCCCCCTATCACACCAAACGAGTTCTTACCCGTTCTTGCCAGTCCTACGAAAACGTCGTAAAACGGGCTCAATCTGGCTGTGGTCGGGAAATATGTCTAAAATAATTAGCTACTTCGTTCATAAACAGTCTTCAATACGTCCATCTCATTCGCAATTCGTTCAGGTCGTACCACGATCGGTGTACAACGTCGTATAACGCGTCCCTTAGTCTAGAAGGTCATCATGACCTGATCACAGAACGGTATGGTCGCCATCGAATTTTGAATCGATTCAAAATTCTAAAATCACCAGTGCAGTGGCAACTTGTTTGGTGTGATAGCTATATTTTTGCTAACTCGTTCATAAGCAGTCTTTAATACGTTCTTAGTCAGTTTTTCTACCTCGTTCTCAATACGTCCTCAGACAGTTCAACTCGTTGTAAAAACGTCCCTAGTAGGATTGAAGTACGACGGTTCCGTTCGTAGTACGTCCAGCTCGTCGTTAGTACGTTGTCACTCGTTCTAATTGTAGAACGTGACGACCACGAGAACATTTTGAGCATGTTCTAAGTTCTAGAGGACCTACCCGTTCGAGTACGTTCGATGAAGTTTTTAGATAGACCCCAAACGGTTCTAAGTACGTCCAGTCCGTTCGTACACAGTTGAAGCCCGTTTTCGAGAACGTAGTGAGAACTAGTTTGGTGTGATAGTAGGGTTACCAGCGCTTGGTAGCAGTCATGGAAGTAAAATGCAGATTCAAATAATCCCTATATGCTTTTGATTATTTATCCTGCACTGGGCAGATTCATATAACATCTTAACAATAACACAACATAAACATAGGTTAATATTACACAATTATGAAATATAAGAGGGGTTAACTTACCCTACTATCACACCAAACTAGTTCTCACTACGTTCTCGAAAACGGGCTTCAACTGTGTACGAACGGACTGGACGTACTAAGAACCGTTTGGGATCTATTTACAAACTTCATCGAACGTACTCGAACGGGTAGGTCCTCTAGAACTTAGACAATGCTCAAAATGTACTCGGGGTCGTCACGTTCTACAATTAGAACGAGTGACAACGTACTAACGACGAGCTGGACGTACTACGAACGGAACCGTCGTACTTCAATCTTACTAGGGACGTTTTAACAACGAGTTGAACTGTCTGAGGACGTGTTGAGAACGAGGTAGAACTAATTGCAAACGGGTTTAAACTGATTAAGAACGTATTTAACACTGCTTAAGAACGAGTTAGCAAAAATATAGCTATCACACCAAACAAGTTGCCACTGCGTTCTTCAAAACTGGTTTGAAACTGTGTGCGAATGGAATGAACGTAGCTGCAACTTTCTAAGGTCTATTTACGAACTTTATGAACGTTCTCAGACGGGAATGTGATTTTAGAATTTTGAATCGATTCAAAGTTCGATGGCGACCATGCCGTTCTGTAATCAGGTCATGTTGACCTTCTAGACTAAGGGACGCGTTCTACGACGTTGCACACCGACGTGGTGCGACCTGAACGAACTGCGAACGAGATGGACGTATTGAAGACTGTTTAAGGACGAAGAAGCTAATTATTTCAGACATATTTCCCGACCACAGCCAGATTGAGCCCGTTTTACGACGTTTTCGTAGGACTGGCAAGAACGGGTAAGAACTAGTTTGGTGTGATAGGGGGGTTACTCCCCATGTACCCAAGTACCCCTTCTCAGGGACGTAAATAAATATTGTTTCACTTGTGCAATGCTAATGTAACTTTCTAGATTAACAGCTGAAATAAACAGTTGTTGTTTACAAGTTTCAGTAATTCAGTTTTCCATCTTCATTTAAAAAAGCCGATTGCTCGGTGTTAACGTAGCGCTGAGAGTAAAGTTCAACGTTAACATACTTTCCATTTTGTCAATCAGCAAACTGAGTTTACATAAGAAACTAACATGTTCTTTTTAAATATAACGAAATGTAAACTGCGGGAGCTATCTCTGGGTGGCAGTTTAAAAAACATTAAGGTATTTTGAACACATGTGAGTGATGGAATATGTCGAACTGAAATATCTAATGAATCGAAACAGGCTTAATTAACCGCAGGTGTGATTCCATCAGTTACGTGGTTCCTTGGCACTTTAGTGAGTGGTATCAATTATATCTGTCTAGTTGTCTAATTAATGACATTTGCGTTCACTTAAAAAGGCACCAAAAGTCACAATAACACTCGGCTACCTGTGGATCGTTATATAGATTTGATCAGTTTAAACACTTCTTTTAGAATTAGATTCATGAAAGCCAAGGGCGGTATTATTGTAGTTACAGTCAGGGTGACCAAAAACAGAACCATCCAAATTGTTAATAATTTCTTTAATAAATGTGTGATCTAGGATGAAAAATATCCTAATAGGTTTTTCCTGGTACTCTTCTTTTCATCCGAGGTGAAATGAACTTGTATTTATTTTGTTAGGTATAAAAACGGTAAAATATCAGAATTGTCAAAATTCGTCGGAGATTACATTCATTATTCAACACTCCATTTAACCAATGAGATACCGGAAAACATAGTGTCAGTTTCTCATATAGATGAATTTTGTAAAAATAATGGTGGAGACTACAACCATGCTACTATTAACAAAGTGTATCAGCAACGTTTGTGCCATCGCAATGTATTCATTACGCCTATTGTGGGGGACTTTTTCCATTAGAGTCGCTACAATTTCTTGAGGTGTGCTACATAATCACTCCAGGCCTCCCTGGTGGTATAGATGTTTCTGCTCTTGTAAGATGTGTGTGTCATCTGATTTTTTATTCAGGTGTTCACCATTACCTGCTACTCATTTGTAACTAAGTATTAGAAAATGAGACAAGCATGCATCATATTAATGTATAATATTATGGGTCGACATAAAGATGTCAATAGTAGAGAAGATATACGAACAACTACTGCTATCTTTCTTTCGATCTAGTGTTAAAATGACACAAGGCTTAACATGCAAAATGTCTCTACCTGCCACGCCAAACGCCGAACCTGTTAAAGACGCCAACCGCCGAACACCTACCGCCGATCACACTTGTAATTGTGACATAAAACCACACCAAGCGAAGATCGAATTAGATAAAATATATGTCTAAGTATAATCTGGTCTAAAAAGTAAGCCACGAGTTTACACTGAGACACCAACATCTATCAATTAATTTAAGCATCTTGTCCTTGTGTCCCCCACTAATAAAGAATCTGTCTATCACGGTCTTCTTGCAAAATTTAATTTGCAACATAATAGTCTCAAATGGATACCTGTTTACTCCTATCTTATACCCATATAGCAATGATAAAGTATAATTTAATTTGCAACATAATATAGTCTCAAATGGATATCTCTATAGTCCAATCTTATACCCATATAGCGATGATAAAATATAATAGTATAAGTTACATTGCAACAATGAAACCGACTAAGTTCAATTAGTTGAGTTATCAATGTCATAGTAGATAAGGAAATAGATTCTAAAGTTCACATATTGCAGTACACACAGAGAATATCAACACAATAACCCTCTATGGTTAAGCGTAGACTGGAATATATTACAAAAAAATCTATAAATGCTCAATAACGAATAAAGCACCTGTAGCACATAACATACATTTAACAGGAAATAAAAACGGTAGTTAACTGGATTATACCAGACGGACGATAAGAAATATGACAACCCTCAAGCTTGCACCATTTAGGTCACTAGAAGACTTCGCCACAGACACAGCTCGATTTGAATCTCCAGAGTTTACCAATACTGAAAAATGGGGAAACAGGGTGCTGAATAATCTACTGTACTATCAAACAAACTACTTCCTTATTCTTACAATTCTGGTTTCTATAGTTGGGTAAGTACATTGTCACATGTTACATGTTTGAACATAGCCATCTTTAGATTGAATTTATGTGCAAATATAGTAAGGTGTCAGGGGCGGATCTGGGAACCAACAAGGGGGGGGGCAAATTTCAGGTCAGAGAAGAAAACAAATTCTTCAAAATTTGGCCTGAAATTAAAAAATAAGGCCTTAAAACGGCCCAGTAATGACCAAAAAGGCCCACTTTTTGTAGCCTAAAGGCATTTTTTGGGTCAAAATTCTTTTGGGCTCAATTTTTTTTCTGGGCCAACCTACGGATCCGCCACTGGTTGAGCTAGGCATGAGGCAGGCGAGGCAATTACCTCACCAAAATTGAACAGAAATATATTCACTCAGACGCTTTTGTTTAAACTTAAGGAAATAAAGTCTAATAGAGTCTAAATGTAGTAATATACCCCTTTTAGTCTTAATTAAGTCTTGCTTCAAGACTATGGACAAGCCCTTAACTACTTTACCAACACAGCATACTTGTAGTTGGGGAGGGGGGGTCATAAGGACTTGTAGCTAGTTAGCCTCACCTAAACTTTGATACTGGCTACACCACTCCCAGGACTATATTTAGTGCCATATTAGGGCATAACACAATTTTTTTAAATTCTTATATATGCACAAAAAATATACATTCATGTTGATGCAGCTGTATTGTATACTATTAATGTAATAAAATGCATGGCTATACCAAGCACCATATTAATAACCATGTACTTTCAAGATAAATATAAAATCTACACAGTCAATCTAAAACTGTACTGCACGGTGCTGTTTTTGAAATAGAACTGTACAGCACTGTAGAAACAGTGCTGTACAACACTGTTTTCTAGAAACAGTGCTGTACAACACTGTTTTCTAAAATAGTACTGTACAACATTGTAAAAACAGTAGGGGGAGGGGGGTTGTAAGTATTTTTTAATAGGTCATTTTACTCCCAAATGTACACATGGGCTTTCTCAAAAAATCTTGGCCCATGTGATGCAGGATGTGGACTATTTCCAAGGTAGCCCCCAAGGTCTGCAACATAATACAACATATTCATATGACAACATGTTCATACTACAACCTATTCATACAACAACATACCCATCACAATACAATTGTATGTAAAACCCCTTTTACATTGTAGATTAGTATACCCATGGTGCTTAATATGGGGAGTCATCAGTGTTGGGGCAGCGTTTGGGGCATACATATTCACAGTACACCCAGCCCCCACCCTACAGAACCTCAGGAGAGATTACCCATATGGCAGCCTCGTTCTGATTGTCATCGCAGCTATAGTATTATTCACATCAGTGTGGAATGTCATTGGACTGATGGTGACCATTTTCATTCCTACACTAGGTAATTCTATTGTTTTTGATAGTGATTTGAAATGTTTATGGTGTAATATAAGAACAAGGCATTACATGCAAAATATCACCACCTGCCATTTGTTAAAAATACCACCTGCCATTTGTCACAGACACTGACCGTCAACCAACAACCGTAGTCACAAAAAAGTTAGAGACCATGTCACCACTTGTGGTGGTGACATAATAAGCGAATCAAATTGCGAGTTCTTAATTGGGGAAATGCTAACTGCTTATAGCAGGGGGGAAGAAGGAGGTACGGATTCTGGACACCTGCTTAGGAGGATGCCAAGGTCTGCATTAGACATTTAAAAAGATGGGGTTTGAGTTGTGATATCATCAGGAGGGGTGATCATAAATATGTATGAGGCAAAGTCTCTGTTGTTGACATTCAAGTCCTTAAGATTCAATCAAGTCCCTAATGTTGACATTCAAGTCACATATGTTGTCACTAAGTCCCTACTAGTGACATCAAGTCACATATGCTGACACCAAGTCCCTACTCGTGACATCAAGTCCCTTATGTTGACATCAAGATCCTGATGTTATTTGAAAACAATATTGTATAATGTATTAAGGTTCTTTGAGACTACAAAATAGAACTATGAAATCACAATTCATTCAAAGATATAAATAATCTTCAATCATGGACATGTATTTCAAAATGAGTTGAAATCCAAATATTTCACCAGTTTCATGAATGCAAGTTCTACTTTATTTATCAGTTGAGTGCAAAATAAATTCTCATTCATAACAACCTTGTGATATTTGTACATGTAAGTGTATCATGATCAGATGAACTTAAAGTTCAATGTGACCTTTAAACAATCAATATCACAAATTGCAAGTATGTGTTTGCAGTGAATTGAAGAACTTTTAACAAGGCATTAACATGACAAAATGTCACCACCTTATAATTTGTTACAGACGCCAAACGCTACTTCTGATGGTGACATGAAAAGGCAAATGTAGCATTGCCTAGGTTCATAACAACACTTTAAAGAAGATAGTTACCCATAACAATAGAATATTTCCATATAGTACTGTGGTAGATACACTTATTTTGACGCTACTTAATTTGACGGATTTGCTCAATTTCAAATATTGGTGGCTATTTAATTTGGCGGATTCAGGACTGAAGATGTTTGTGTCATTGGAAAAGGGGCCCCTGGAGTTTAATTTCTGAAGTGCATTGGACGAAATTCAAAACTGATATTTTATTTGTCGGATTTTAAATTTGGCAGATTTTCTGAGTCCGCCAATCCGTCAAATTAAAAAGGGTTCCAAATAAAGTGTATCTACAGTATAAAGATCTAATACAACAATTTCCAAAAAAGGAGATTAACATGATAACTTTACATGCAAAAGTTCAAAATGTCTTGACAACCGTCTCTTTTCTTATTTTTAGGTTGTTTGATACATGCTTCATATCGTCTCCGAAGCCTCAAGAACAAAATGTTCAATAAATTGGATCAAGGACACAATACACCTATGGTCTTATTGCTCCAAACTCTTGGCTTGAAAGTTAAAGGTTTAGCCGTTCCACCAGAGCTAAGAACCAAAATAGATGAAGTAAGTAAATAAACATTGAAAGGCCTAGCCATTCCAGCAGACCTAAGAACCAAAATAAATGAAGTAAGTAAATAAACATTGAAAGGCCTAGCCATTCCACCAGAGCTAAGAACCAAAATAGATGAAGTAAGTAAATAAACATTGAAAGGCATAGCCATTCCATCAGAGCTAAGAGCCAAAATTGTTGAAGTAAGTAAATAAACATCGATGTAAATTCAGCAGAGCTAGGAACCAAAATAGATTAAGTAAGTACACAACCATTGAAAGGCCTAGCCATTCCAGGAGACCTAAGAACCAAAATAGATGAAGTAAGTACACAAACATTGAAAGGCCTAGCCATTCCAGCTGAGCTAAAAACCAAAATAGATTAAGTAAGTACACAACCATTGAAAGGCCTAGCCATTCCAGCAGAGCTAAGAACCAAAAAAGATGAAGTAAGTACACAAACATTGAAAGGCCTAGCCATTCCAGCAGAGCTAAGAACCAAAAAAGATGAAGTAAGTACACAAACATTGAAAGGCCTAGCCATTCCAGCAGAGCTAAGAACCAAAAAAAGATGAAGTAAGTACACAACATTGAAAGGCCTAGCCATTCCCAAGAGTGCTTAGAAACAAAATAGACGAAGTTGGTACACAAACATTGAAAAGCCTAGCCATTCCAGCAGAACTAAGAACCAAAATAGATTAAGTACACAACCATAGAAAGGCCTAGCCATTCTACCAGAGCTAAGAACAAAAATTGTTGAAGTAAGTAAACAAACATTGAAAGGCCTAGACATTCCGAGAGTGCTCAGAACCAAAATAGATGAAGTAAGTACACAACCATTGAAAGGCCTAGCCATTCCAATAGAGCTAAGAACCAAAATAGATGAAGTAAGTACACTAGCCATTCTAGCAGAGCTAAGAACCAAAATAGTTGATGTAAGTACTCAAAAATTGAAAGGCCAAGCTATTCCGAGAGTGCTCAGAACCAAAATAGATGAAGTATTTCACAAATATTAAAAGACCTAGCCATTCCAGGAGACCTAAGAACCAAAATGGATGAAGTAAGTACACAAATATTATGTCCTGAGATTTTGTGAGAAAATTCTGAACCAAAAAAGATCCATTTTTGCCAGATTACATGAGAAAATAGTCATGACATGGAAGGAGAGTAAAGTATATTGTAATATTGTGACAATGTTGGGGAAACTGAACTCTTCGAGTTCTTAACTCGTCTTGATCATTATAGTTCCTGTAACACGGTTGTCTTACTTTCATTTGAGAGCAATTGGTGAAAAATAAAGAATATCCAGTCGCGTTTCAATTGCACTTCACAATTATTTCAGAATTATGAATCTACAAAGCACAGTATGGATGAAGCAGAAGATGAGGTAAATACAACATCCCAGGGTGTGACAGATGCTTTAGATAAAGTACGCTCAGCAATAAGTGAAGGGGCTGATAAAATTAAAGAAGCAATGGAATAAATGTTGAATGGACTTGACTGTGAATGGAACATATGCAATTCATGGTAAAAATGCAGCCAATGGTAAAAATACAGTAAAATGCAATGAAATAAATGCAGCCAAAATGCAGATGGTAGAAATGCAGAATGATATGACGAAACAAATGCAGTCGATGATAAAATAGAAATAAATACAGCGAAAACAACAAATGTGGCCATATTCAATGACATGAATGAAGAAATTGAAACTATCAAAATCAAGGAAATATTAACAAACTATCGATGGATGTAACAGTGAATTGTTAGAAACTTGAGCGACTCCAGGGAGCAGAACTACACATCATACTTGCCATAATGTTACAAATATAACAACTCAACGTGTACATATAAAGTAATACATAGTCATCATGGAATGAAATACATGTGACAAGACAACTTAACAAAATATCACCACCTAGTTTAATTTACTCATCTAACCGTATGTTTAAGAAACCATACCTTGACATTCAGGTTTTAGAGATATGTGGACTGTTATGAAACAAGGCAGTAACATGACAGATTGTTACAGATACCAAACGTTATTGCAAATTGTTACAGATGTCAACCTCAAACCACTGAAGACCATCCACAGAAAAAGTTGGAGACTATAACAATATGTCAACACTTCTGGTGGTGACATAAAAATGAAGTTAATTTCATTACGCTTTAACCTCCACCCTCGCTTGATTTCTTCAACAGTCCCCATTCATCACTTTATAATGAAATGGTAATTTCCCCCCTCCCCTAATGAAATTAACTTCATTGTTCCACATGCTGTTGACAATCTGACACCTCCCCTAACCTAGATCCACCTATACTTAAACAAATATGATTGTGTATATCTACATGGTATTCACTGTCTGGTAGATTTTTCTCTTAAAGGTGCAATATTCTCTTTTTACATTTCCTGACAAATTGAAGAAACGCAAGGAGCTCACATGTTGTGAATTCACTACCTCATGGTTATGGCGTTATTACATTCTCTTACATACGATCTGTAATGCCAAGACTAACAGTAAGTACTTTCACAAGATGCTTCATTTTTTTAAAACTTTATTTTATTCACAACAAATTATTTGGAGCGATGAACAGCTCAACTTACATGTAAATGTAACTAATGAAACTTCTTTATCAAATTCTATTTATAATTTTAAATCATAAAAAGATAAGTTCAAAAGTATGAATTCTTTGACAAATAAATGTAAAACTAATCCTGGTACTTTAATATATATATATACCAGTCATAACATTGATTAATTCTACATAGATATATGTACATAGAATGTACATAATATTAAAATTATCACAATTAAACATAATTGGTTAAAACACATCACATGGCCAGATGATAACGAAATATAGGTAGCACACTTTTTACTTTTTTCTGATGTGATATTGTTTCACTTAGTCAATATTTTGGTATATCATCCTCTCCATCATTCAATAATCTTTAATATCATTCGTGTGTGCCATAATTTGTATAAATATAGGTTTTCCTCACTGAGCAAGTTGGATCTGATAACAACTTCATCAGAGCCTATTTTATGGCATTTATCAATGTCTCAACAGCTTTTGTTACGCCGAGTTTTTTCACAAGTTTTCTGAATTTCTCAGGAGTGTTCTGCAGTGCACCATTTTCATCCAACTTCCACACTGAAAAATGAAATAACCGATGAAAATCAATATGAGTTGATGTGAATGAGTCCCAGTGCTACCACATAAGAAGTGTACAAAGGCGACAGGTATCAAATGTACAGATTTCAAATGGTATAAAGAATAAGCGAAGATTTATGTATCATTCAAAATCGTCAATCAACTAATATATTTTGCTAAACATAAACTCTAATTTTCTAAATCTCTTTCATTTGTTTTGGCCAAGAAAGGGAAAATACATTGATGGAAAGCAGGATGGTAAGGTAGGCAAGCTTACTTGAAGTTGGGGCACACACATGAAGCTGTATGTCAGGGAGCAGTCGAGTCTCAGTGAGAGCGTCGAGTCTGAACTTCCAAACAATCAACCAATCTGCCCTGTAACACATACATAAACCACAAATATTACAATATAAGTACCTAGAATTTAAAAAAATTGAGCTGCATAAAATTAAAACATTTTAATAATACATATTTATATGAATATAATACATATTTAGGTAGCTTAAATTCTACAACTCACTAATCAAGAATTATACTTTTAGGAACTCGACAAATAGAAAATAAACTTTATTTTTCATGATAATAAAAATACAAACTGCAACTGCTAAATAATAATAATATAATATGAGAGCATTCGTAAACTTCTTAATGAACATATTTTGCACTTTTGATTTTAGACTACAACTGGTATTTTTCTCCACTTACCCAGGTTTTTCTTCATTTTTAATAGATAGCACTTGAGGTCCAAGAATCTGACAAAGATTTGGATATTTTTCGGTGAGATATTGAAATAACTTCTCTCTGTCCCTTGCCCATTTAGAGAAGGGCTGTAAGATCTGTGTTATGAACTCATTCAGGGCATTGGAGTCTTCATATCTGAAATACATAACACATAAACTCATTCAGAGCATTAGAGTCTTCATATCTGAAATACATAACACACTTGGAGAATGGCTGTAAGATATGTGTTATAAACTCATTCAGGGCATTGGAGTCTTCATATCTGAAATACATAACACATTTAGAGAAAGGCTGTAAGATCTGTGTTATAAACTCATTCAGGGCATTGGAGTCTTCATATCTGAAATACATAACACACTTAGAGAAGGGCTGTAAGATCTGTGTTATAAACTCATTCAGGGCATTGGAGTCTTCATATCTGAAATACATAACACACTTAGAGAAGGGCTGTAAGATCTGTGTTATAAACTCATTCAGGGCATTGGAGTCTTCATATCTGAAATACATAACACACTTAGAGAAAGGCTGTAAGATCTGTGTTATAAACCCATTCAGGCGTTGGAGTCTTCATATCTGAAATACATAACACACTTAGAGAAGGGCTGTAAGATCTGTGTTATAAACTTATTCAGGGCATTGGAGTCTTCATATCTGAAATACATAACACACTTAGAGAAAGGCTGTAAGATCTGTGTTATAAACTTATTCAGGGCATTGGAGTCTTCATATCTGAAATACATAACACACTTAGAGAAAGGCTGTAAGATCTGTGTTATAAACTTATTCAGGGCATTGGAGTCTTCATATCTGAAATACATAACACACTTAGAGAAAGGCTGTAAGATCTGTGTTATAAACTCATTCAGGGCATTGGAGTCTTCATATCTGAAATACATAACACACTTAGAGAAAGGCTGTAAGATCTGTGTTATAAACTCATTCAGAGCATTAGAGTCTTCATATCTGAAATACATAACACACTTAAAGAAAGGCTGTAAGATCTGTGTTATATACTCATTCAGGGCATTGGAGTCTTCATATCTGGAACACAAAAACACACAAATCTGTGCACTAAAATCAAGTGTTGGCCCTCTCTGAACATCAATACTGTTTTCCCGTAATTTCTAAACACCATAATTAATCTAATTAAATAATCTCATTAAAAAACTGATTACAATAAAGCCCCCAAAGTGTGATAAAAGTGTGATATAAAAATGTAATCAAAATGTATCCTTAGCTGCTTAGTAATTAAAGATGAGTTTTATAATCACAATTTAAAGTCACTGACTAATTAAATATTTCCTAGACTTTTACATATTGCTATAACAGACTGTGGCCAATTCTGTAAAAAGTATCTTTCCATTCATGGAAGGTTACACGTTCGAGCCTATTTTATACCCTCTGTATGATTAAGCTGAACATTTCTTTGTAGTTGGACCTTATATAGGGGTGGTAGACAGCCCTCTGGCCAATTTATACCCCTACCCAAAAAAAACTTACCACTCAATAAAAGAATTCTGATGCATGTCAAAAATTCATTGTTTTATAAATTGTGTATGGTATGGTTGATGATTATGCCAGATATTTCCAATCTCTTATAGGATTGCCATGAAAACAGTGTTTAACTTTACATATCAATATTTTCTCTATTTGACCTCCCCAAATGTGCCCCTTAGTTCTCAAAGTGAAACATTTTCAAATATGATAGGATTTTATGGCTACCACTTCATCAGAAATTTACCTGCTGACTTTAATGTGCATATATTTTAACAATAAAATATCAAAGTGTTGGTATGTTGATACCATATTATAATATGTATTAGAGTCGCATACAACTGCTTTTTGGAAAACAGTTGGAAGGACTCTCATTGGAGAGCTATTCATGGTGAACTTCAAATAACACAATGTTTGCTTTTTGACCATGCCATTAAGAGAGGTTATAAACCTTAAAGAAATATGACTTTAGAGTCAACTGGGATGGGTTGGCAAAAGGGATGGAGGCAGATATCCTTGGATGATCAGTCAAAACGATGGAGATAAATGCAACACCTGTTGCAACTACAATTGAAGACGATGACTCAACTGAAATAGCAAGTGCCAGAAAAGCAGTCAATCATCAAATCAGTAAACTAAGTGACTTCAACAATGTAAGAAAATATATTAACTTTACAACCTAAAACAAGCCATTAACAAGCAAATGTCACTTAACACCGTCCAAAACCACTTCTGGTGCTGACATTAAAACAGAAAATGGTATCCAGAACTTACAGAATGTCTAATTTTTTCACTAAAGAACTTTTTGTATATGTTATCTCAGAACAAAGGAAGTTAATGTAGAATCAAAAATGGGTTAAAGGCATTAGTCCTTCACATGTTTGGAGACCATGAATAATGCGGAGCCTGGAGTGGTTACCATGAGTTACCTGAATGGGTATGTTCACCAAAACATAAAAGAGGATTTGACAGATGACGGGTTGAGGTATGATGTGTTGAAAACCATTCATGAAAAATGGGGAGAAAATACTGTAAAACTAGCTTCCATAGAGAGAGCAAACAGAAAACGAATCATTCCATATCATTGGTAGGTACAAGGCCCCAAAAGACATTTTAGTGGATCACTCAAGAGTCTTGCTTACTGCTTAGGGCTATGCTTACTTGGAAATGGTGCTTTAGTGTTTAAAAATTGATAAAATACCTAACAGATTTCACCATACTTTCACCTTAACTTTCCTATGAAAAAAGATCTTGGGGATTTGTTGAATTTTGTAGCAGAAATTGGCCGCTCCCCTCCATTCATTTTTTCCAGATTACCAGGTGTGATATGTGGTGTATGTTATCTAATTATATTCTTATTTGCCATGCAGTGAACAATCTTAACAGTTGTCTGTCTATCTAAAAAATCAAGATTCAATTAAACAAACAATTATCTGTGTCACTTTGTTAATTATGTCTGAATTGGCAAGCCATATAAATGTGCTCTTCAATGAATTTCAAAATGAGCTATAAACTAATTCATACATTTATCAAATGTATATTTAAACCTTTTACACCTTCTATGTTTACTGTATATTACAGGTACACACTGAAGCAGGAAAATTATATCATTCAAGCATAGGTAAATTTGTTATATTTGTTTCATACACCAATTGCAATACACATGACACAGAGTGTATACTGTCAAAGATCTCGTGATGTATAATGTAACATGTACAAGAATTTTGAAATGAATATGTATAGTTCTATTGACCACATAACTTTAGAAAATCTGATTAATGAACTTTGAAAAGTTGGACATTTTTGCGAAACTTTATATATATATATATTTATATCATAATAAAATCAGTGATGACTAGAAAATATTTGAGCAATTTTGAGTGAAACATGTGATATCTTATGTAAAGTGTTCAGATTAGACAGGTTAATTTTTCAATGTTCAAATTGGGAGAAGTTTTCAAGCATTTTTAACATGGGAGTCAATAGGAGAAAAAAACAAGACAAAAAAGTGTTCAGATTGGGAAGTATACTGTACTGTATATAATTACTTTCCCTACATAAAAAATGTGACATTACAGGACTAGAACTAGCACCAGTCCCCACACAGAATACACCAGTGATCTTGAAGAGAAAAACGCGACTTCCTAATTTGGTCAAATATGAATGCGCTGAACAAAGCATAGGAATTTATGACCTTGAAACAACAGGTTTTGGTGAGTTTTCCTTTACCTCGTCTCATTTTATTTTTTAAAAGTATGTTTAGTTCAATTCTTCAAATCCATGAAGTCCTTTGTACCTTTGAAATAATATTGATTTTGTAATGTATACTATGTAAACAACCCATCTGATTTTGTCCTCTATTGATTTTCCTCATGGTTTTTTAAAAAACAACTAGGATAAAATATGTTATTACAACCAAGTTGTTCCATACTGCACAAACTTTTCCAATATAAAATAAAACACATTGTTTTAAAAGGGTCTGAGGCTGAACTTATCCAACTGGCAGTACTCATACAGGGAAGGATGTTCAACAGATACATTAAACCAAGAAATGCAATACCCAGAAGAATCACAAGACTTACTGGCATAGAAAAAATTGGCAACATAATGTATGCTGAAACATGTGCAGTAGAAAGTGTACCATTGTCGGTATGCCTACAAGAGCTGTTGATATTTCTGCCTACAAATTCAACCCTTCTAGCTCATAATGGTACAAATCTATTTCAGGATCATTTTATATTGACAATTAGAATCATTTTAGATAAGGCATCAATATGCAAAATGTCACCACCTGCCATTTGTAACAGACACCAACCACTGAACACCAACTGCCAAACACAGCCAAACATCATCAACACAAAAGTTGGGAGACTATAACCACGCAGTACAAACTTCGACCGTTAATTTGAATTTTTGACCTACCAGATGTTTGAAAATCAAGGATTACGAGTCTCGTACTGCACCGTTTTTCTTCAAACTTGTTCCATTCAAAGCATAACAAAAATCCCTTTCTGTTGGTACATTATTCTCTTAAACAGAGTCCCTACTTCCAGCAGCATTTTGGTCCCCAGCTGTAAGAAGGCCTTCTAACAGCTGGGGACCAAAACGCTGCTAGAACGAGGGACTCTTTACAATAAAGTAATGCACCGACAGAAAGGCAATTTTGTTTTGCTTTTAATGGTATAAGTTTGAAGGAAAACAATGTAGTATGAGACTCGCAATCCTTGATTTTAGAGCATCTGGTAGGTCAAAAATTCAAATTAACGGTCGAAGTTTGTACCGTGTGATAACAATATGTCACTACTTGTGGTGGTGACATAAAAACCAAAGGTCAATAATTTCTCATTTTACCTCTGAAAGGTTAACTTTCATAATGCTGATTCTCAGTTCTAGTTACTTGTTACACGTTATAAGAAAGTGGTCAATTGTAATCAATCATTTTTGTTAGCAATTCTGAGGGAATGTATCTACATCTCTGAGAAACCTAACGTGAACTTACTGTATTTATATGAAATAAATATTTTGCGATCTGTTCCCTTTTTCTTGAGATGCCTGACATTTTCAGAGAAAACTTATTTTGTGTTATGCAGAGTGTGGATTACCTTATTTTAGACATTATGTCTGTTTCACTGCAGGGAACAGCTTTGACAACCCACGTTTGACAAGAGCTATTACTCAGTCAAACCTAGATTTTTCTAAAAAGCTCGACGGGATGGGGGACACCAAGACTGTCTTCAAGAAGGTGTGGCCCATGTTAACATCATACAAACAAGCTGACCTGGCAGCTCTCAAACTGCCTGCTGAATCGTTCAGACAACACAATGCTGAGGAGGATGTTAGAATACTACAGTTGTTATTCGAACAGGTAAACCTAGAATTTGCTTATAAAATAATGTGAACAAATATATCATCAGGCCCTGTGTCATGTTTAGGAGTCCTGTCTTTGTTCAATATTGCTGCACACTGTAGTTAATTCAAAAACAAGGCAATAACATGCAAAATATCACCACTTGCCATTTGTTACCAATGCCAAACTCTGAACACCTAATGCCAACTGTCAAACCTCGAAAACCATCCACAAAAATTTGGAGACTATAGCAATATGGAGTGCAGGAATACATGAAATTTGATTTCAGCAATCTGTTGAGAAAAACACTGGTGATATTTCTATTACACTTCTAAGTATATTTTCAGTCGAAAAATTACGATTCTAAAGTTAAGAGGAACTTCCCTGCACAGCTGTTGAATATCATAGTATTGTACAAAATGGAACACTCATTTTTAAAATTTTTCAGGCAATGAAGGAGAACAGGATCCGTACTGTTACATGTCATACATTAAAGTCATTACAGATGAGGTACTGCTGACAGCTGCTAATACCATGGCAACAGATTACTGGTAGAAAACACTTCTAACACGCTAATGACAATGTATAACAGTTTTTCTTGACATGGAAGGAACATTATCAATGTAGATATTGATTGTCAATATTACTGAAGATAATGATTATCAATATCACTTAACGTAATGATTGTCAATATAACTGTTCATAATGCTTCTTAATATCATTAAACATAATGATTGTCAATATAACTGTACATAATGATTGCCAATATAACTGTACATAATGATTGCCAATATAATTGTACATAATGATTGTCAATATCACTGAATGTAATGATTGCCAATATAGCTGAAAAAATTGATGTGCCATTATAACAGTGCCATTAACAGTAAAATCCCCATTAGAATAACATGGGAAGAACATTTTTACCCTCAAAATGTCCATTATACGGAACTTTGGAGGTACTTTTGAAAACCCTATACTGCAATAACTAAGAATTTGCTTTGACTATTCCACTATGTCTTAGAGACCAGGGTAATTAATTTTATGGCTTGCACCATTTTGTTCTTAGAAATGGGTGAACTGAAAAAACTTTGTATTTAATTTATTTATATATTTAATGCTCAAAGCCTTACAGAAAATATCAAATATATTTCTGTCAACGATGGTAGAGTTATGTTTAATTACCATAAAGTAGCAAGGACCTTTTTTAATATATGTAGGAAAATTGATGCAGGATTATAAGAATATGCTAAATCAACATCAATACAAGGATTGGCTCATCACAATTTACTTTTGACTGGAATGAACCTATCAATGAGCAAGATTGCCATAATGTTCATCTCCTGATTAAATACTTGATCTAGAGATGACCATTATAGTAAAAAAATTATCACTAAATTGTTCCAAGCCAGTCAAAAGAAGATCATTAAATAATGCCGAGAGCCAATTCTCATTGGCTAAATATGTTGCTTAGTAACCTCTATGCGGCTTAGAAGAGATCTATTGTTTGTAATAATTTACGTACCCTGTTACACCATCGTCAAGCTCTAGGCTAGTCTCTGGGAGGTTTATCTTTAATCCAGATATTCTGGCAATGCTCTCCTCCCCCTAAAAGCATTTCCACCAGCATAAATAGAATATAAAACTAAAGAGCTTATAAACAAAATGACTAAAAAAAGATGGCAACATAGCAGTTAAAGTCAAAGGGACAAATTCTTCTCACATTTCAATGTCGTCTAAGTCTTGTCATGACACAGAATCAGAGGTAGAAATAAGTTTTAAATTAATTGAATTTCCTATCCATTTATTTAAAGGTAGAACTTCCCTTCGAGTTAATTGTTTGATTATGACCTCTATGGTTACAATAATGGAGAATGTTTCAAGCTTGCTTTACTGTATTTAGTTGTTTTTACTTCAATATTTTCTGTTTGGGATGTTCCATGCCTCGATTATATTTTACATACAGAATAATTGGGAGTAAATAGCATTTGAACATCATGTATTATACGTCTATATGAAGGGTGAGTATCAATGGCAACTATACTGTGAGTTTATTGAAAAACTTGCATTACTTCATCAAAATAGAAATATGTGTAATTGAAATGATAAAGTGTAAAAAACGTTTAAAATTTGAGGAAGAGTAAAATGTCTTAAATGCTGACCTTTTCCTCCTGTACCAGGTAGTTGATTTCAAATGTTGTGTCATAAGATGATCCAATCACAACATAGTCCCAGATGCATTCCCTCTCATCATCTGAAACAAGCAGGCAAAAACAATGTAGTCACAGACATTCCCTTTCATCATCTGGAACATGCAGGTAAAAACAATATAGTCACAGACATTCCCTTTTATCATCTGAAAGAAGCAGGCGAAACAATATAGTCACAGACATTCCCTTTCATCATCTGAAACAAGCAGGGAAAAACAGTGAAGTCAGACATTCCCTTTCATCATCTGAAACAAGAAGGCAAAAACAGTGAAGTCAGACATTCAATCTCATCATCTGAAACAAGAAGGCAAAATCAATGTAGTCACAGATATTCCCTCTCATTGTCTGAAACAAGCAGGCAAAAACAATGAAGTCAAAGACATTCCCTTTCTTTATCTGAAACAAGCAGGCAAAACAATGTAGTCATAGACATTCCCTATCATCATATGAAACAAGCAGGCAAAAACAATGTAGTCACAGACATTCGCTTTCATCATCTGAAACAAGCAGGCAAAAACAATGTAGTCACAGACATTCGCTTTCATCGTCTGAAACAAGCAGACAAAAACAATGTAGTCACAGACATTCCCTCTCATTGTCTGAAACAAGCAGGCAAAAACAATGCAGTCACAGACATTCCCTTTCATCGTCTGAAACAAGCCACATTTGTTTACAATGAACCCAACTTATTTCAACTGTCAGACATTGAGACAAGCATCCAAATAACAACAACCATCCCACATATAATTAACAGATTTGAGATCTCTTGTATAAAAAAATGTTAATAAGTTCTGATAAACATGTTATTCTCAAAATTAATTGAAAGTTATTTTTATAACAAATGCTTTTGTTTAACTTTATTGTATTTAAAGATCAAAAGTGCCATTTGGCAACAAAAAAAATCATTCAACTCATTCAGAAATGAATTCGCTTGAATAATATCTATGGCAATGAAAAAGGATAGAATCAAATGTAAAGTATATTCCCAACAAGGTTACAACAAAATTGAACAAACCCAAGAAAAAAAGGAAATACCAGAACACCATGTAGAAATACTTGTAAGCCACAATTTTTGACATCCTGCTTTCTATGAATCAAAACATTTGGGAATTCTTTTTTAAGCTACAGTTATCATGGGGCTGGCTCCAGTAATAGACTGACAGTGTAAACTGTTGGAACTATGTAATCTCTTCAATGTACATGGCAAAGAGCACATTGCACTCCTGAGATATCTGCAATGATCATATGTGGACTCAAAAGATGCAGAACTATCTCAATTGAAAAACTCCATTTAACCTCTTGACTACGCAGAGTTACAGCGTAACAATATTTCTCGTCACCTAAGAAGTGACCTTGAAACCTAGAGTGACGAGATAATCTGTCACACAATTTTTCATTAAAATTGCTCTAATTTGAATTTTCACAAAAATGTTTAAAATGTGTAGAAATGATCGCTACTGACTAATTTCACTATCTGTATGTAGTAAAATGTCAAAAACTGGCAAAAATAAAAAATTCTATGGTTTCAAACCAATTTTAGAGCCTGTAATTCAAGAGCTTAAACATGGGTAAATCTCAGAAGGACTCATTGTCAAATGCTGCTCTTTGTAACTCAACCCAAATACCCGCCTTTGCAAAAGAGGAAATGGTTGGTTCATTATTCGAATTGTCCAGGTTATTTTCAGGAGTTTTCAAACCAGGATTTAATTACTTTTGTTTACTACTTTAGTTCACTATTCATGGTCATGTGACCTTCTGTACGTAGCGTGACAGCTTACTTATGCATGATATAAGATAAGCAGTTTTGGCATAAACAAGATATTTGATTTGAATTTTACAAAAATTGATGCAACTTCCTTCAAAATTGAGCTAGATGCTTCAAATAATAAAAAGCATTTTAAAGCATCGAACCCCCCCTTCCCCCCGCTACGCCTATGTAATATAATATAAAGGATTTGCAAACATAAGCTTTGGTTTTAAACCTCCTGTTCACTGTGGTATGGAGTATGAATGTAGTTTCGCAGAGGTGTCAACAGAAAGAAACGGTGAACCCTGTTTTGCTGAACCCAGGTTTGCTGGATTTGTTTTGCATACATTTGACTCTTTCACCTAAATCTATGCTCAAATATTTAGGTATACCACTCATTAAACTTTAATTACCTTTTTTTAGTGAGGTACAAACATCATGGATCTTGACCCCAGTCTGTTCACTTGTTAAGCTGATCTAGAAAATAATCAAAATTTAAACATTACTTAAAATACATCACTTACTGGTATACATCAAAGATGACTTTGTGATTATGTACCTCTGACATTTGCAAGAATAGATGATGATGAAAAATTAATTATTTTTCCATTAACCTATAAAAAAACATATCAACACCAAGCCAAGTTGCTCTTTGTGCCAGGCTGTTATTTATGATTGTTATGCTGAAGAAAAACACATTATTCTTATTGAAAGAATGAGATCTGTTATAAACATGTGTCAGATTTCATTAAGAAAGATGGCCTACGTGCAATTTTAAACAGAACAAGACGATTCGATTCGTGTCAATGAAACATTACATATTATGTTGTTTTCTTATTAAAGGCTTCTCTCAATGTGACATTGACAAGAATAGGTGAAGAGGTATGAAAAATATCATTTCTGGAAGTCATACTATGTATAGACTACAACATTGATTTATTTGTTATTGAAAATCAAATCAGTATCTACATGAGAATCGCCATGTAAGTAGCGTAGAGGTTTATATTTTCAAGTTATATGTGACGTCAGTCAGTAATCTGCCTTAATGCACATCATGATATAACAGTACACCCCATTTCTTCATATTTTTATTTATTCATATTTTTTCATATTGCTAGCTTGTAATAAACCAAAATATATGATGAACATTAGGATGCTTGGTACATGGCAAACAGACTGGTTCGGATCTAAAATTCAGCACATTTGAAACTATGTCTAAAATTATCAACAGTAACATGGTCATAACTTATGTAGATGTAAGTTTGAATGTAGGATATATGAGCCTTGGCTCTTCTTTGCATTTTTTAAATTTGGCATTGGCATTGTTGTTGTAATAACATTGGCATTGTTGTTGTAATAACATTGGCATTGTTGTTGTAATAACATTGACATTGTTGTTGTAATAATATTGACATTGTTGCTGCCATAAGATACCTTGAAACATCGTAGAACTAAATACATTTGACTCAATATTTTGATTTTCATCATCGTTCCTATACTTTCTTCATTTGCTTCCTATTATACATTCAAGCTACTAGTATGCATCTGAATATACATGTACTATCAAATATTGTAAAGGCATGTAGTAAATTTAAAAAGGTGGCAAAAATGAAAAAGTCTCTGATTTCTACCGATTTTACAGCCTGGGATTCAAGAAGTTAAACTGTGGGAACAATCATAATTTGCCAATAGGTTATGGTGGAAAGTAAATAGAGTGTGGTGCTGCGCCACAGCCTAAAAGCCTACCGAGAGCCCTGTTGCCACACTGTATAAGATAATCCTCCTACGCGAGTCATTCTCCTGTTATATGAAAAACAGGAAACTTCAATTATCCTCAAGGTTTATGGCATCAAGTATTTGATGTATCTCTGATTTTTTTAGTTCTACTGACAATAACAAGTGTATTACTGCATATAATTGACAAAATAATTTTAGATGAAGCATGTTTTAGCATGGAGTGTAAAACATGTGCTATCTGAACTAATAAAAAAAGTAAGACAAGAGTTTCGATTATTCACATTTCCAAGCATGTGACTTAATAGAAGCACGTTCTTATAATGTAATTTATCTTCATAATAGTCAGCCAGATCAACGACATCTTCTTGATAAACCAAACTGATTCATCCTAGCCGAAGGACAGTTTGAAACGTGACAAATGTGAAAAGTGTCAAATTATGGTCCCATTAGAGAATATTTTCCCTTCTAAATTTTTGTTTGCCCAACAGAGCATGATGGTAGAAGGAAAATCATTGTAATTAGGTCCAAAATGTACCCTTGACATTCATTCGACTTTGCTTCTTAAAAGATAATTCTTGGTGGTCAGATTATTACATGTTAATATTCAAGTTCTCCCAAATGGGTGTTGAATAGCTTCCATATTATGTACTATCGGGAATTTCATTATAGCTTATTTTATCTAGTTGTTTTCACCAAAGATGTATTTTTTGTTTTGAGGTATTTTGCAACTTACCCTTTGCATTCGTTTGACTTCACTTCTTAAAAGAGAGCTTCGTCTTCACTCTTTCAAACTAAAATAAACTTGTGAACTCACCGCGCCAATCAGTGTTCGTCGGCCAAATTTGACCGACGTTCTATATATGGTCATTCCTTCTGACGTCATCGTTGAGCCCGAAATTGACCAATGACACGCCCATATTTAATTAGAACGCATTTGGCCTATGTTTCTTCAAGCTCGCTGATTGGTGCAAGAAAGGTCAGCGCGTAGGTCAAAAGTGAATATCACCCAAACTGTCACCGGTATCCGTCGTGGGGGCGGGGCTACTACTACTACTACTAAACTGTAATATGGTTTCTACTAGGCAGAGTGTAGTTTAACTAGACTCTGCACGCAGGGTATTTGCAACTGTTAATTGTAACAAGGCATTAACATGCAAAATTTCACTACCTGCCATTTGTTACAGACACTGACTGCCAAACACTGATCACCAAACACCATCCATAAAAAGTTGGAAAATTCTGGTGGTGACATAAAAGTTAAAATTTTCCAAAACTGTTGTTCTATGGACTACCTGAAATATTTGGAATCAACCAAAACCATATATGGTGGGCTAATAGAAGTGAAACCATATGGCAGCATGTGACGTTCCATTGAAGCTCATGTTAATGGTTAATTGAAGTAATTGGGAAATAGCCAATTATGTTATGTCAATAATTACCAATAATTACCAAACTGATGTTCTGATTCCAAAGGATGTCAATATGCCACACAAGATAATTGTCTTTCATCCAAGGTAAATATAAACATCCCTTGTATTAACCTGTCATACTCTCTAAAAGAAATCTTGATACTAATTTTTGACTTTGTATTGTAGTCTCTAGTCCCAAACAAAATTTTCCCACAACTTTTATTTCCAACCATACAAAATAGTGACATTGCTATTACAATGACTATACTTCATTTCGAAATATGGAAGCACATATTTATAATCAGTTGTAAGAGATGCCATATGATTAAGAAGTGGGTTTTGATTCAGAATGTTGTGTTTATTCACCAGAAGCCAATTCACGCCCCAGAAACAAGCCGTATATGAAAATAAACTCAGGAAAGGGGGGGGGTCACAAGGCCTCGAAGCTATACCAAGTCTGAACTTTTTTATTCAAAATAAAATGGTAAAGACACATATTTTAATCTTTACAGAGCCTCAAATACTTGTAGTAATAAAAATCTGATAAAACACAGACCAAGTGCCAAAAATTTTCTCAAATTATTCTGCATTCAAAAAATGAAAAATTCTGAATTTCCATTCCCCAATTTTCTATACGTCACTTATGTTATTTTGGGGATGGTGTTAATGCGAGCCCTGGTGACATAACAATATATAATAGTTCATAATTAGCAGGTACTCAGATTGTTTTTTGGTGATGTCTAAATAAATAGGAAAATTACCTGTTTCTTCAAGTTCCCGATAGCTGTCTGGATCTTTTCACGTCCTCTGTCTGGATATCTGGAACTGAAATGAAAAATATTCAAATACAGTAAAAACTGGAATATTTTGGATTTGGTTTCAAATCAATATCATTGTTGATGTAAAAAACTAATAAATGAGCTTTTAAAATAGATAAAGGCTAGAAAAAATACAAGAACCCTGTAGCCAGCTTTCAACAAGATAGCCCCCCCCCCCCCCCCCCGGTGTACTTTGCCATCCAATCGTGTTGTGTTGGGAAGGTGAATTACACAGAGGGGGGGGGTACATAGTCTTGAGAAAAGACTATCAACAAGAAGGCTCAATATTTTCAGTGTGGGGTCAAAATGTTCAATTTAAAATGAAAATATTCAAGTTATGCCTAAAAATGAAGGAGTTTTCCCCCTAACCTGCCATTTGTGGCTAAACAAATTGCCCAAATTTGTTCAAATTTTTGGAACAGCTATAAGAATGATCCAAGAAATTCATGTATAGATTACAATAGAGTACATTACAACAATGTACCTTTTCATAAAGGGCAATAAAGATATACATACATACAAAAGGTTTGATTCTTCTTTAAAAGAGAGCTTCATCTACACCTCTTGTACAGAAGCTATAAATTATAACAGCTGGGAATATTACCTTTTCAATATTTTGATTTTGCTTAGACTTTTAAAGAGAGTTTCATCTACACCTAATATAATGTACTTTAGGCTCTGACACTTAGGTATAATTCTAAACTTGAAAATGACACTGAATTCAACATTATCTGATCGAACATATGTTTAATTCATGTCTACTTAAAAGATTGGTGATTTTAGAGATGACCATTAGTGAACCAGCATGCATATAATAATGACGATGGAAAAAAACTTCACAAAAAATCAATCTTTTTATCAACCGCATAATGCACAGGCTAGTAATAACTCGACTTTTAGATCACATAACCAATTTTAGTTGGCCAAATTAATCCCATCAAAGGTTCGTCTTTTATATGATACCAGCATATTAAAATAATAATGATGGCAAAAAAAGGTCACAAAAAATCAATCCTTTTATTATCCATTCGATGCACATGTTAATAATTTCTCGACTTTTTAATCACAATAGCAATTAAAACAGGCCCAATCAATGCCACCTTTGTTCACCTGTCTAGTCTAGAAGATGCATTTCAAAATTTCCCGGATGACACACATTTTCATCAATTATGCATTAAGAATACAAAGCAGAAATTGCATGACTTCCCTTGATTGCTTCCCGCCTACAATCCAATGTAATTAGTTCAAAGTTATAATAACGGCTCAGCGTGCGTATTAGCTTTGATTGGTGTTTGGCTTCAAGCAGCTCAATATTGTGTTAGAGAGGAAGCAGTTGTGTGGCTTGATCCTACTGATTATAGACTTTAGAAGTAGGTCTTAGTGGGTGTTTGAAAGTATGTGACAGCTGACAGGTTAAATATTGATTGAAGTCTTGTTGACAGGATTGTAATGTTACTAGACTTATCCTTATCACAAAAATATGTTATTCATCGAAGCTATATTTCATTTCAGGATAACCTCCATATATTTTGTGTAAAAGGGAAAGAACCAAGAATTGTTACAGAACTCAGGAAGAAAAAGAAAAGATCTAAGAGTACACCAGACAAAAAAACAACCCCCAGCTATCTCAAATCATAATCTAGCGTGAAAAGAAACAATGTCTAATACCCCCTCCCCTCCCCCACCATTCAAGACAATTGGAATTGCGTCAAATACTCTATACTCATTATCAATTCCATTTACAATGAATAATTCAAAATTCATTCATTGAAAATCAATGAGATTTACCTGTGAAATCTCCGGTCACTTTCTTTATCAGGAGAGCTGTCAACACATCTGATAAGAAGTGTTCTTAGCAGCTCTAGTGAAACTTGATGCTATGTTGGTCTAATACAAGATGCAGCCTACTTGTAAATAAAATACGTTATCCATACGTTATATATGGTTCAACAAAAAACAGCAACTAAAAAACAACAACTAAATATGAGAAACTTATGTGGTATATGCCATATTTATGTGTCTGATCATATAATCTTCAAATTATCCATCAATTTCTTAAGAAATTGGCGAAATTAAGGAAACCAGAAAACACATTTAATGAAAGGGCGGTGTTTATAGGCTGTATGAAATGCCCCTGCATTAACGCTCACATATATGAGTTTTAAACAATAATTTAGTAGACTAAAGTGTTGATACGAAATCTCAGTAATAGTACCACTTAGGAGATAAGGTGATGTCCGATTTAACATTACGATTGCTGGATATGGGGAAATACATCAGCCTCTTAGATGTACATGTACTAAGGAAATATGAAGTAGTATTTTAGGCTTGGATATAAGCAATTTACTGTTGTCTCTAGACAGTTTTCTATTCTCTTATTACAAAGCTGAATGATTCAGAAAGACACCTGCAAGTGCATTTTGAGAATCAGGATCAATAAAACTTGAAATAAAAGAGAACAAAAAGAGATTAATTGACAGTGTTGGCCAAAAGCCACATAATAAGTACCCAAAATGGTACCCTGCATGCAGAGTCTAGTTATAAACTACCCTCTGCCTAGTATAGACTATATTACAGTTTAGCAGTTCCAACCAAAAGTTTGGTGCCTCTGACAGCCCAGGTTATAAATCATTTCAAATCTACTACGCTGACCCTTTCTTAACCAATCAGCGAACACACGCTAAGTACGTGCTCATTAATTATGCGATGATGTCAAATGACCATGTAGAAAGTCGACCGTATTTCGACGACAAACTCTGATTGGCTCGGTGAGATCAGAGATTTATTGTAAACTGAAAGAGTGAAGACGAAGCTCTCTTTTAAGAAGTGAAGTCGAACGAATGCAAAGGGTATCAAATGGTGAAAAACTGCATGATTTTTAAAGAATTCTTGGCCGGGAAGGCTTACCAAATCATATCGATACCATAAAGTCACATCATCGCCAAACTGTCACGGAAGCAAGCTTACTATTCCCAGTCAAACTAAAGCCATTTACATAAACTGAACACCCAACCTGACGTAGATAGTTGACTAATGTAAGACACTCCGGTGATAAATAAACTACCTAAGACATATTATGGTGATAATAGCTCTTGCTAGCAATTAGTTTAATCATACAGAGGGGGAGAAACACCAGGGTTCAAAGATGACATACGCTTATAATGTAAATCTGTATTGAGATGACATTGTCGCTGATTGGTCAAAAGTCGACAAACAAATGACGTCATCAGTGGCGGTTTCAAAATTTTCGAAATACGCTTCGAATAATATTATGTTCATTTCTGGCGTGTTAACCAATATCACAGCTTCTCATTTCACGACAAGATAAAGAAAGGTGTACGGAATATACCTATGTCAATTGAAACATCCCATCGAAGTGTAGTATTTGATAACTAGCCGATGAAAATTCGAACGAACGAAGGTGGTAAGCAAGAGAGGTAATTATGTCTGTCATCTTGAAACTCTGGGACGTTCCCTCCTCTTTCATAAAAAGATTATATTATTCTATTTCAGGTAAAACAAGGGAGGGTAAATTGGTAATTTTATCATTTGTGATGAGTAATGCCATTTAAACATTGAACATGTCACTGGAATTGATAGAAAGTACATACATGTATGCACATAATAGTAATTAGGCTATGAGTAATGTAGAACTCATTTACAGAAACAGTACCTCACAAGTATCTTACAGCATAGTAATTATATAAAGGGATAAAATCCAAAATCTAAGTAAAAAATAAATGAAATGCCTTTGTCTATTACTGACAATATTAGTTTGTACTTTTGTGTTTATTACAGGTCACATGGATTCCAACTGATTAATTCTATAACGTTTGATTTCAGCGCATTGGTGACGTCACACATTTTAGAAATGTAGCAATTCATACAAGGTCTAACACATTTTATCATGCCATAGAGTTACAACTATCGTCATTCATTTGTAAAGTTACCCATGAAAATTTTATCTCAAAGGTTTGTTGAATAATTTCAAAAATCATACAATCCCTCCATGAATTTTGACAATTTTACAAGTACAATTAATTGTATGGACAAGATATTATATTAGCAGCAGGTAACCAGGTAATTTTCTCAGATTGTTTAAACAGCAATCACCTGTTTTTTACGAATTTTTTAATTTTCCAATTATGTGTATTTTGCCCATTGCTTTCACTTGTTTGTCTACCTTGAGTGACAGAGCCTTGCACACAAGGCTAAGAATGGGAGAAATAAATATACAGTTTTGATGCTGATCAGATCTAAATAACCCCAAAAGTAGCTGTCATGGCCTTTAAATGAGAGTTTCATTGTGAAATGAATGCCAGGTACTTTTGAAAGTATAAAATCCAGTAAATGCTATTTGGATTGGGTAGGTGGCTTTTTGATGGAACTATTCTCAGTATATTAAATGGTTCATGCTTGTTCAGGAGTATCTAGGTGTATGTGAAGCTCTTTTTTAAAGAGACAAAATCAATTTTTTGGAAAGGGTTGTTCATGTTGTTAGTTATTGTCATGAAATACCCTGTTGGCCAAAATGATTACAATAACAAAGACCTATAGTTTGAAGTGAACAAAGAAAATTCAAAAGGTAGCAAATTAAATAGGGTCTCTTGAATTAAATTCACTTACAGACATGTTTGAATTATATCAATATCAGCTTCAACTGCAATACTTTTGGATTCAACATCTCTGTATTCAGCCTTCAATTCATTAATCTCCCTGAGTCCCTCGTCAATAAGAGCTTGATATTTTTTCTTTTCTTCTTCAAGGCTATGAATTTCATCAATTTGATCTCCAGTTTTGTCCTTTAATTGACTCACATTTTTGCTTGTTGAAGGAGTAGAGTCCTTACTTTCAGATTGTTGTTTTGAAATTTTTTCAGCTGTTAATTTAGATTTCTTTTTAAATTTTTTCAAGCTTTCAATTATACTGGATTTAGTTTTTGCGCTCTGATTTCTCCGACTTCTTGGTGTTTCAGTAACGTCTAAGTCAGAATCTATTTCCTTGGCTCTTTTACAACTTGATAATCCCACATTCTCTAAATTATTTCTTATTTCAGTTGGAGTAGTATCCTCTATAAGTCTTTTTCTTGTTGGAGTGTGTTCGGCATCAGAATTCTGATTTCTAGATTTCATTTGTTTTGTATTACTTCTGGTATTTTGTTTCCTCTTCTTTTTTGATGATGTGCTGCTCCTTGAATCTGTGGGAGATGTTCTGCTATGATGCAGAATGTTCATAGACCTGGTTGTTCTTGTGACAATGTCCAATACGTTATCCTCATCATCTTCGGCATCAAACCTTGAAATAAAATATGAAAAATGCAGATATAGTCATGTATTTACAAGGTTTATCACATTACAACAGGCTTAGTGGGAATTTCTAGCAGGAGGACCATAGAAGGCAAGTCAAATAACAAAAGCAAAGAAAATACAAGCATGCCTTCATAATTTTGCACCAGTAAATAACATGTGCGGGTACTGTATAGCATTTTTTCAAAATGTTTTTGTTAGGAGCACCAGTACTTAAGTAAATTGTTATTCATATTCTATTCAATTTCTATCACAGATACTAGTTTTCTGCATGAAAAAAAATCAAAATTCTGCAAAAAATTCTGCTAGAAAAAAAAGCAAATTCTGCAAGGGGAAAATCGAAATTCTGCACAAATTTTCAAAAAAAGTCCAAATTCTGCAATCTTTTAAAACGATGAAAATTGACGTAGCAAGGGAACGGAAGTCAGCTACTTTCTAGGTAAGAACTGCGCGTCATAAGCGAACTCGCTTTAGCGAATTTAAACGTGATAGAATGTTGAATTTCACGGTGAAATCGTACTTGTACTCAATTTAAATGATTGATTGTTGGACATAAACAGACACTCTTCGAATACCCCGCAAAGGTAGGAGATCGTAAAATATGTAATTTCTGGAAATTCTGGTAATTCCGCAGGATTTTCATGAAAATCAGGGATTCTGCAAAAAATTGAAGTTTTGTCAAATTCCGTCCACTCCGCGGAATTACGGAAGACTAGTATCTATGTTCTATTACTGCTAAATTATATTGTTATACAATAATGTATATACTTCAAATGGGTGTATTTTATCCCGTGCCAGGACTATAGTCCTGAGAACGTCTCAATCTTTTGCCTGTACGGTTACAACATGGGAGAGTTTTCTACGCTTCTACACTTAAGATACCTACTTCAATAGATTCCTTGGTATTTTAGCATTCTTTTCGTGTAGTTGAATCCACAATTGTCTGGGTTTATCAGCAAAATGAAGAAATTTTCGTTTTTGATCGCAACATTTGCGTGTAACATTTAACTTATTTCAACTGTCAAAGTCCTCCATTTATTGGTACTTCCGGGCCAGTCAAATGGGGAATCCCCTTTAAAATCCAAACGCAATCTTGAAAAGTGATGGAATCTCTCTTGATGAAAAAGAAAAATGTTCCCTTTCTGCCGATATACCCAGACAATTGTGGACCAACTCCCGGGGACCAACTACATGAAAAGAATGCTAAAATACCCAAGAATTTATTGACGTAGGTATCTTAAGGTACAGCTGGAAAGTAACATTTTGGTAAAAAATTGCTATACCTGCACATGTTATTTTCTGGTACAAAATAAAGTATGAAGGCATGTGTCAATTTCCTTGCTTTTTTCAGGAAAGTATCATTACATTGTCTTCTTTTAGAATATCTGGTAGGGGTTCAATGGGAACTCCAGGAAATTCTGATATTTCACACTTTCTATTTTTCCAAATTTTCTTTCAAAGTTTCCAGACAACACAGAAGCTTCCATTGACCTGTTTCCAGATATTCTAAAAGTAAACAGTGTAATGATACTTTCCTGAAAAAAGCAAGGAAATACACACATGACTTCATACTTAATTTTGTACCAGAAAATAACATGTGCAGGTATAGCAATTTTTTACCAAAATGTTACTTTCCAGCTGAACCTTAAGTGTAAGGCCTTAGGGCGTAGATAATTCTCCCAAGTTGTAATCGTACAGGCAAAAGATTGCGCTCGGTCAAGGACTAAAGTCCTGACATGGGATAAGGTGTATTAGGCTTGTGCAGATTATTGAGCTGAGGGGTTCACTCTAGGTACAGCTGGAAAGTAACATTTTGGTAAAAAATTGCTATACCTGCACATGTTATTTTCTGGTACAAAATAAAGTATGAAGCCATGTGTCAATTTCCTTGCTTTTTTCAGGAAAGTATCATTACATTGTCTTCTTTTAAAATATCTGGTAGGCGTTCAATGGGAACTCCAGGAAATTCTGATATTTCACACTTTCTATTTTTCCAAATTTTCTTTCAAAGTTTCCAGACAGCACAGGAGCTACCATTGACCTGTTTCCAGATATTCTAAAAGAAGACAGTGTAATGATACTTTCCTGAAAAAAGCAAGGAAATACACATATGCCTTCATACTTAATTTTGTACCAGAAAATAACATGTGCAGGTATAGCAATTTTTTACCAAAATGTTACTTTCCAGCTGAACCTTAAAAACTTTGGTCCCAATATGACCCAAATCATTTGAATTTTTGGCCGGGTGCGCTCGTATACCCCAACGCCCCCGACCCCTTTGCTACGGGGCTGTATAAACCTTCATAACCGATCAGGTAATGGCAGTTTCTATTTTTAATTTCTTAGGTCTATTATCGCCCACTTGCATTTTTTCAAAATTAGGATTTCAACTAATTTTATTGAATATCTGGAAGTTCACTTCCTTCATGATCAACTTAAATAAACACATATTATAAATTTTAATGTTTTTGTTTCGTTTTTACGAATATAAAGTACAACTCACTCATTTATTTGACGATTGATTGAAGTAAGTAAATCTTCCGAATCTCCCGCCATGTTTTTTCTGATTGTAGTTTAAGGACACCTTCCTATATTCACGAAATTTAACTCGGAGGTTATTTTGGTATCCCTTACGGCTTACAAATACCCGCTCTATCAAAACATTATTATTACCCAAACATATATATATATCATGTGTCTAATATACCACACTTGTTACCATATATCTTGATTTTGGCTGTAGAGGGAGGTGGCAGGACCTATTTGACATCCTGAATTCAATATAATGGCATCAAATACCATACTGGGCTCATACTATTACAACACCATGCCATTCATTCTTGAAGGCATTGTTGTTGCTTATTTATAAGATATTCAGATTTATAGGTCAGCTTTGGAGTTTTAGTTCTCAGAAATGAAACCACTAGAAATATTTTGAATAATAAATAATATTGCATGATTAAAAATATTTCCAAATGTTTAAGGCTATCAACAGAATTAAAAATAACTTCCGAAAACAATTGTTACAATAATACCGTGTACGCACAAAACATTCCAACAGACACATAGGCGTAGCCAGGGGGGGTGCGCCAATAAAAATAAACCCATGAGAAAAGAAGAAGAAAAGAGATTTAAAATGCTTTTTATTTGAAGCTTCTAGCGCAATTTTGAAGGAAGTTCAAAACAAATCTTTTTTTGGCTTGTTTTTACATGTATGCCACAATCGCACCCCCCCCCCCCCCCCGACTGAAAACCGCCCCCCCCCCCCCCTGTTTCTGATGGAATGTCTCTATTTTCTAAAGAGTCAACCAGTTCAGGTTGACATGACAGTCATAAATACAATGATTTAGTTTTGGGTTACTTTGCCATAATTTTGAAAGTGGGCCACCTTTTTCTATTAATATAAATTGATTACAATGTGTTTACATTTTCAACGGAGAAACCATATCACATATCTCAGTATTCTCCGAAAAATAGCAAGAGAGCTATTGATATGTTGTTTGCTTCATGCTTTCCCCGGGCTGCTTCCAACATTAAATTACACTCTTTTTGTTCCACCCCATGTTCAAATCATACAGTTAAACCAGTGTTTTCCTTCAGTCATATATGAAATTCATTGATGGATCACTATGTGTTCAAATAAGAATGTCCACAAACGAGTGTGTTTACAGATATCGTACCTGACTGAGGTTGGTTGCCCCGTCGAAGGTTACTAATGTATGTGGTACCTCGATAGTTAGAAATCGTTTGTAGAGTACCTGGATGTTTGTGGTTTGGGTTATCTTCTGAACGAGAAAAACAAGTTGGCCTTGCCAGTTCTGACGTCCAGTCATTTAAAACCAATAACAGGCCAAGCACCTCTGACGGTTCTTTTTAGATACGAGCACCTGAGTTTTATTCTAGGGTAAATAAAGGGCTGAAGAAACTATGAAACGAATAAACAAATTTTGAAATTATGTTCTTACGAAATCCCGGGTCGTACAAATTAATGGGAAATTAATGAATCCATTTGTCTTTGGTTCTTTGAAAAGTACATGGATTTTATTCATTGATCGAAGATCATATTTGCCAGGAAATATTTACAAGTGAAACCACACGTAAGACATTGATATTGATTTTTAGATGCGCATGCTAATTAAATGATGCATTTGCAACAATAAGCCTATTACTTTTTTCTTTCGTATGATCATTGGATGAATGGCATTTTAGTTTTACCGAAGTCCTTTATCACCTCGTGTTTATTATCAAGAGTATCTCCGGGAGCTAATTTCTCGCTTATATTTGCACACATCGGAAACGCTATGCAGTTTGACACGTGCGGTATTAATAATGCAAATTAAAGATGCAAAATGCGCTCTTTATGCACATACGCATGAAAACTCGACAGCTGTTTCTCGAGAGATTTTCACCGTGAGAAATGTCAAGGGGTTAACTCCAATCTGTTGAGCCACCAAGCTTGACCAAACGCAAAAGATAAAAACTTTTCTTTGTCATAAGTTTAATTTAACACCGCTGTTCATACACTGCGTAGTTGCTCGTTATCGGTCAAAGTGTCGTGTAAATTAAGTTGATTGATTGTGCATTGTGCAGAAATTTGCTATAGACTTGTGATATAATCAACTTCGTTAATAATTAACATGATTATGAACCTAAATGAAGATTGCAAGACCCTACATCAGAGTCAGACCTTGCAATTGCTGTGTCCATCTTGACTCAAGACCCCGAGGGTCCATGGGTAATTATATAACACTTATATCTTTATCTGCATTCATTACATGAACCCTACCTGCCAAACTGCTTTCATTCAGACCCACACCGTGCCCCCCAATCACAGCCCAAATTTCTAGATTTTTTATTGTTTTCAGTGTAAGGTCAAAAACTGAAAATTGCAGGCCTATTTGTTTATATCACTTGTTTTTCATATTTATTTTCATCTTTGTTTATAGGCAAGTACAGATGCCCGGGGTACAGATGTTTTGTTTACGAAGGTTTATCTATCTCAATATTAAAAATACACATTTTTGGTTACGTTTGGCTCTGCAATTTAGTAAACACAAACAACATTTTATCCTTTCTTCAAAATAAGTTCTTAAAGGAGTGTTTGGATTGAATATTAAAGTTAAACGGGTTTGGAAAACATGGGTCGTGCCGATTGTCATGGTTTTATCGCCATCGGTATAAAGAAGGTTATATTTCACAACGACTTGCAAGTGCTATCCAGTGTAGACTAGTTTACAATGGTTAAAGTTCTACATGAAGGTCAGGTTGATTCAGGTGATGCCTGCAAAAATAATTTCATAAATTATGCAGATGCAAGGTGATTATCATGATGCTTTTCAAATGTAAAACTTTTTTAATCGAAAACACAGTTTGTAAGCTTTATCATTTCTATTCATTTTAGTTATTATCATGTTTTTAAAATATTGAAATAAAGAACTGTGTTTAGATATACAAACAATATTATTCAATGTTTGTTTGTTTGTTTAATAAGGTTAATAAAAGTAGTGTTTTCGCTATCACACACTCAGAAGCCAGATTGCAATTTATACCTATTAGTGAGTAATTTGGCTTCTAAAAATAGCCTTCCATATAAGGTAACAGGATGTCAATTTCTAAGATTTGATTGGTCTAAATAATTAAGTGAGTGACGTCAACGAGTACGTCACGATTGTTTTCGAGAAGAAATACACAAAGAAGAGACGACGCCATATAAACATCAGCTGAGAAGTCGAACGAAACAGATTGCCAAGAAAAAAGCTCAGAAAAAGACATTTAATCGTTTGTTAGACTAAAACCGACAAGTTAGGAAGGTAGTTGTGTATATTATCTTTAATAGCACCAATAAAAAACTGACATCGGTCCATTATTTGCAGCTTAAAAGTACTTTGGGAAGTTGTTATTTTGGTACCACCCTGAAAGAAAACATTGAAAAGACTGGCGAAATCATTCCATATTTTCCAGTATTATACTTTAGACAATGTATCGAGAAGTAAAAAGTGCAGTGGATTTTCTAGCGAACATTTTACGAACGGGTAATGTAACTGCAAAGGATATCGAAACGTTCCGTAGAACTCTACAAACGTTGTTGTGCAATCATTACAAGAATCATTGGTTTCCCGAAAAGCCATTCAAGGGAAGCGGTTACAGATGTCTCAGGATTAATCATAATATGGACCCTCTTATCGCAGAGGCTGGTGCTGCATCCGATCTTAAGAAGGACAAACTATATTCGATATTCCCAAACGAGCTCACAATGTGGATTGACCCACAGGACGTATCGTATCGTATAGGTGAGGACGGTAGCGTAGGGTTACTATTCACCGCCCCATCCCCCGCAGTAAAACATATGCCAACTACAGAAGCAGTCAACAATACAACAGCAGTCAACAATTCAGGATCTCAAATACAACATATACAAAGCGATTGGTTCCAGTCGTGTAAGGAACAATTCAACTTGAACTTTATCAGCCACGATAACATGAACTTTGAGCATCTTGCTCAATATGTTAGCAGTTAGAACGAAAAATGCTTATACTAACTCAGTTCCGAGTTCATCTTTATCATTCACCAATTTAATACGAGACGATGCAATACAGAATATCTTCACAAACAATAATAGACTATTTTGAACTGAGTTGAGATTTGACGACTGAAACGGACAATATTTATGTGCAGATTCGGATCATTAAATGATCATATTTTATTACTCATGATCATTGAATCATGATCATTGATAATTGATCTCTGATCGATGGACAATGTTTATTTTTTCTTTTGTTAGATGTAGTATAACTTCTCATCATTCATTGAGCGTAGATGGGTAGAGTATTTACAGTTTATCCGTTGTTTTGTCAAAGCTATGGAAACAATGTCGGTATCTCATGAAATTATATCATGATTTATTTTTATGTACAGAGAGATAGCTATATTGTACAGAGAAAATATTCTTCCAAGCTTTGTTTACAAGCTGGTATATTATAAATCTCAAGCATTGTATTGAAATATGTAAATGTTTTTTAAAAAAAGAGAATTATTTTGCTGAAAGGCATTTTTCTAGAAAATATTATAAAAATCCATATGTTGGAATAAAAATGTCAAATTATAGTGCATAAAAATGACTAAATTTGTTGTTATACTAAGTGTATGTTTAAATAATTTTCACAAACTTGTGTGCGCTAATATGATACTTGCAGGAAGTCCCCGGTGCTTAAATCGGATCATTTACTTGATGTCAAATCTCTAGCATTCGAGAACAAATACGCATTTGCTCTATATTTTTTTTCTACCATACGAAGCTTTTTGAAAAAATGAATACTCTGAACTTTACGTTGTAAGTCTAAAGCCAATGTGTGCAATTTATGATAGTATAGAACCTAAAGAAGTACGTCTGTACTTCAACCAAAAAACAAAAAGGAGACCTAACACAAGAAGCCCATTGAACTGGTCCAGTAAAAATAAAATACGATCCCATAATTCAGCAATTCAAATGTAACAAAAGTTCACGATTGCCAGAACGACATTAACAGTTTTTATTTGACAAATGCAAATTTTGAGTGGTCTGGTAAGAGTTAAGTAATTATCATTAATGTTTATCTAAATTATTTATACCAGTGCAATCATAGCCAATTATTAGAAACCTCATATTCTAGACATGATATGATGTTACCACAGGCAAGGTATTCACCCCCTCCCATTTAATTGAAATTAATGCCTATATTACATGTACTACATATCGTACTAAGTTCGTAACCCCGATGACTGATAACACTTGTCATTTTATAAGTTACATTTAATGGGAGGGGGTGAAAACATTGCCTACGCATACAACATATCTTAACCTGAAAGTGACAAAGTCAAACGAATGCGAAATGTACATATTCTAAATCAAGTCTCACAAACAGACACAACGCCAGAAACGAAATGTTTATTTTTGAGATTAACCATATTACCTATTTCGGTTTGGATCAGCTGTTTGTAAGTTTGACAGCTCACATTAAACCTCCCAGAATGACCTTCATCCTTTCTAAGACATCACAAAGACTAAATAAATGCTGGAAAAACAAAAAAGGGAAACTGAAGCAGCTTGTAATTATCATGTTACACTAACAGACTTAGGAGTCCGTCATTGTTATACATTGTTTATGTTGGCCTTGACTCTTGTATCAATCTCTTTGTAGTCACAATTGTCTGGTTCTGTATCGGAGAGGGTAAGGAATAAAAATTGGGGTTCAATGGGGTCATGATGCATATTTACATATTCACTATGCATTATGCTTGCGGGCATGGTGAGAGGTATTTCAAAAAAGGCCAGCATTTTCTAGAAATGGCCCAAAAATAATTCAAGGACTCATACATCCTTCGAACGCAGCGGTCCAGACATCAGCAACTCTATCCCTTCCCTTCTATGGAACAAGTCCGATGAATAGACTTAGATCTAAAGCTACTTGGATCTCCGATTTCACCTCATCATTACCCCCCCCCCCCGTCTCTTCCTCAGGGTAGAGGGAGGGGACGCCTAAAATATTTCACATAAAACCGAGAACGATTTCTTGCTGATCAGCAATCGTGTCCATGTCATTGATTAAAATAAGACTACACCATCCAATTGGGGACAGAACAGTGTTATAGTTGTTTTTATTGACATAATTGAATGATGTCAGACTTGCAGATTTTTATATGCCATATGCGAGCGTGGCGAACCAAGAGAACCAACCGTAATGGAATTCCCGATCAAAGGGGCGTAATAGTCATGGAATTTGATGTGCTCGTCGTGGGATTTTTACACCCAATTCAGGCCTAGAACTGGTATACTAAGAGACGAGTACATCATCTTGACGTTACAATCTTGACTTATTTTATGAAGAATTCCTACTCTTGTCATCTTGATCCATCAAGGTATTGCATATGTGTATGACTGAAGGGATACACTGGTTTAACAGTGTGCACCATGGCTAATAGACTTGATGTTTAATGAAAAACCGATATCAAATCTACCTTCTGTTATGTTGTGTGTTGAATGTTTGACTTATAACAGAATCTTCACTCCCTCTTAAAATCTGAGAAAACAAAAAGTTTGACCATCTACGGATGCAATCGAAAATCGTACTCAATCACAAACACAGATATGTTGTTCTTGGAGAAAATATAAAATATCAATTTAAAGGAAACTTAATATTTCCAACAAGATGGTTCCATATTGTATATATGTAATTTTAGAAAGAATTGAATTATCTTGCACAATGATGCAATATACGATTACACTACATGTGAAAGGAATGATTTTAGTATCAATTTCAAGTTATCATGTACTTTGGTTCACCCTGCATATAACCATTACACAACTTGTTTTGATAACACACATTTGAACTTACCCTCCTCTATGAGGAAACTTAACAGACTTAGAGCACAAAAATGTGTTTTTCAACGTTTTCTCTATTATCATGAATTAGCCAGCCTAATTATTAATTTTTATTTTTAGGTCTGAGTTATTCTCGTTAATTTATGTTTGCTTGTATCCTAGGCAACGTCTCCTCCCGGGGAACAAAAACGAAAACCTGATTGTTTGTATAGAATAACAAAGTCCATCTTTTCAAAATCCTAAAGGGTGTAAATCATGAATGAACTACCTGTGTATAATTGCCAACGCTTTTGTTAAACTAATTTTGGGCGTTGTACTTCATTGTAGACGGTTGTGGTATTGAGCCTAAGAGTTAACTCAGTCAGAGTGGTTGTTTTCTGTTTACAGTAAGTGATTTATCATATTTCTACTCTCAATAGACGTCTGCGTCATCATCACCACTCAAAGTTTGTCCTTCGAAAAAAGTAGTAGCCTTGTGGTTTAAGTTGTCCAAATCATTATTTATACTGCCATACATCTCTGAGTGGGAGTAGCCAAGCTAGCAAATGTCAAGGGGTGCGATTTTGGGGTCTTCTAAGCATTTCAAACTATAATTTGTTAGGTTTAATGTTTTTTCAACAAATTTCACTAAATTTTTGTTGGGGTGGGGGAGGGGGACGATCCATCGCACACAATCACCCCCACTCCCTCCGGCTACGCCCGTGTATAATTACCATGTCATATAATCAGAAAAAAGAAGTTTTATAGTATCAGAGCATGTTGCTTGTATGTGATAAGTATCAAAATAATGCAAATGCATATTACATTATACTGTATATACGATGGACTCTAGGACAGATGTCCATAAGCGGTTTACAGTTTGTTACCCTTTGCATTCGTTTGACTTCACTTCTTAAAAGAGAGCTTCGTTAGTTTAACTAGACTCTGCACGCAGGGTAACAGTTTGTACAAGTATTTAGCTACTATGCTTACAACTATATATATCACAAATCGCAAGCAATATAAAACACTTAATCGTAATCTCTTCAAGTGACGACAGCCTTTATAAATCATGTTAACGTCAGCGCTTTACAAAAATATTGCAAATATCAGCAGGAGCCGGATCTCTGAAGGCCTTTGTACTAATAATACAACTGATATGAAAACATTTGCATTATTTGAATTGAAATATCAATGTATCCCTGGATTACTTGATCGATATTGAGGCTAATCGCATCCTCGTGTTCTGTATTTGTATGGTATGCAGTTGTAACGGTGTAATACATAATTATTGCAAATATGCTTTAAAAGCATATTATTAGTTGAAAGTAGGAAATCATGCTTATTGATCGGAGCATTGGTTTTACGGATAGCCTACCAATCTTGATCCATTTTATTGGTTACTCTGTGTTAAAGTAGAGTCTTGTCTCAAAACTCTATAGACCTCCCCCCCCTGAAGTACAAGGGGACACAGTCTTGAGACAAGACTATCAAAATCATTACTCGAGAACAATTTACATTATTGTGGAGGGCCTAGAGTTTGAAATGTTATTGAGACCCTGCACAAATAATTTTTCTATTGCATGTCATGCCACACCAATTGAATTTCATAATTTAAATGACGTCGAAATTGCAACCAGAATGACTGATCAAAATAACACCGTCACGAGTGACAAATGCTGGGCCTCGAATTATTTCAAATAACTTCTAAACTAGGGAAGAGCTCTGTGGTTTGGTGTTTGGTACCCCTCGCAATCGTTTCACTAAAAGATAATTTCGTCTCCATTTACTTTCCAACTAACCTCAATGTAGTGTTCGGAGGATTGGGGTAATGGCTCAAGTTGTAAATAGAAAACAGTTAATCTGTTAACTCAGTTTCTAACATTAACCAACTGATAATAAGAGTGAATACACAACATGATGAACATGCAAACATATGCCTCGGTCGCATTTGATCTACGGCGGGATCTACGGCAACCGTACGGCTGGCTGTAGCTAGCTTTAAAAGTTGATTCTAAGCTTCATCATTATCCTCATATGTGTGATTGACCATGCTTTTAATTTAGAGAAAAAACATTAAAACTATTGATTGATGTTCTTTGTTTTGTTCAAAAATGTCCATAGTGTATAGTAGTAATTCATTAGGTGGAGCCGCTGGGGTTTCAATTCTCTAGTCTAGTTGAAAGCACATGAACAACAACTATTGTTGGGGACGATTTGGCCATCCTTGGTCCAAAGGTATTTCACTTCTTTCCATAAATTTGAATTGAGTAATGAACTGATAAATTAAGTCCTTTGAATGAAGGATGGACTTGGCTAGTTCCCTTACTCATCGCCCCGGGCTCATCGCGAGCTATGCAGCCTACATCAATACCTTGCCCTGTTGCCAGTTGCCAATAAACCAGCACTACAGTACATTAACAGTATCTGGTCAGCTGTTAATGTTTACAAGTGCGTTCACTATATTCATGAATGCGTTTCCCAGGGCAATTTTCTAATTCATGTTTATTGTCATTTATTCCAGCAGGTGCTGACACCTGAATAGATGTATTGTTTACATCACGTGACTACTTGACCATCTGTCTTGGTCGGCAACTAACAGTACTAACTGCACTCACGACACGTGACCGACAGTTGATCAGATGATCCAGAGAATCTGACACACCCCCGAAGTACCTTTGCCCCAGGTACTATTGTTTGTTGACATCCATTGTTTAACTGTAGCTTAGTAGTGCCAATCTTGAGATGAGTAGGGGACAGCGGGGTAAGAAGGGCCGTGGGGCAAGACGGACCACCAAGTTTATTTTATTGTTTTAAAGTATATATCGCCTGAGATTATTCTAGACTTCTTATCGGCACTGGACTGCATAGATAATTCATTTCGTACACGGTATTTACATTCGCACAACGATTGCACTTATGTACCCAAAAAGTATGGAGTGTTAAATTCGGGAAAATAGAGTATCCTACTTAAGTTATTTGTACTGTTAAAAAGTCTGAATTTTCTCATTTTCATATTATTTATTGTCCATACTCTTTCCTAGGTAAGCTTACATAACTGCACTCTTTATGCAAAAACTGAACTTAGTAATGTGCTTTCAGATCGCCTTACTGAAAATAAATTAGGAAATTGGGAAGGTAGAGTGACCTACTTAGTTATTTCGTAGGCCTACTTTTAAAAAGTAGATCACTAAATTTGATACATCTTAGGTTAGTATTGATATTCTCCATACTTTTTTCTGGGTACATTTCTACACTTTTTTGAAAGATGTAGACAACAATGTTGGGAAGGATGAGTCCATCTTTGAAAAAGTAATATGTTACACTATGAGGAGTGTATCACAATGGGCCCGTGAAAGTACATTTGACCAAAGATCACAGTCTCAAATTTAGTAGCTCAACATACAGCACCATCTTTAAATGATCTATGCAATTATTCTTATAATTGCAGAATTTGGCGTAATCCGGCACGAGTGAGTAAGCAAAAAATTGAAAGTTCAAAAAATCATTCTTTTATCCAAACTAATGGCTGGTGTAGATGACTACTCAAACTGGATGGGTAACCTACCAGAGGAAAAACATTCTGTCCCACTAAACACGCTGGCAATTCCAGGTATACGCCTTGATATTATTTATTATGACACTTGGTATTTCTTCTTCTTCTTAGTCCTTTTCAGTGTTCCTTATAAGGTGTTCCGGGATCACTTTGGCATTATTATGCTGCCTTTGATCACTTGTTGCTGTTTTTAAAACTCATGTACTAAAAATATCACTTGTACTTTTCACTTGTGCTTATTTTACTTCTGTTGGGAGAGAGAGCGCTAAAACTTGTTATCTAACGTAGTCTAAAATGCAAGTGTTTTTCCATTAAAATGAGATGTTAAAATGAGATGTTAAAATAGAGTCACTATCTCACTCGAGTTAAAAATAAGTTATTAAAATCTCTTGGATTTCTGTATAAATGCCTGCAGGCATTTCATAATTTCTTTATTTAACTTATGGTCCAGGCTTGTGTTGAGTCCTGTGATTGTTTGTAGGTCTAGAGCTGGATTGTATTTAGCTCCTAGTAGTATCTGTTGCACTTTGGCCAATAGAATCTCCCTCTCTTCCTGGAACTTAGAGCAAGCAAAGATGTAATGTTCAACTGTCTCTGGTATGTTACAGTGGTCACAGTTGGGAGATAAAATATCGGGGTTAATTCTATGGTGATGGCCATGTAAACGGGTGTGCCCAGAAATAATTTGGTTACATATATTTCTATAATACCTAGTTCCTGTCTTTACAATTGGACTTTTCAATTTAACCTTAGGAATTAATTCCTGAACAAAGTTCACCTTGGTGGAGTTGTTATACCTATTTTGCCATTTCTCTAAAGCGTTACATTTGATATTATTATAAGCTACAGACTTAGATGTTTTACAGTCAGTTAGAGATTTGGCTGCCAATGCTGCTTTCTTGGCAGTTTTATCCGCAACTTCATTCCCTTCTGTCCCTTGGTGACCTGGGACCCAGTAGACTTCTAAGGTTTTGTTCTGTAAAGATAGCAGTTTGCAGGCTTTCCTTGTGTCAATAATGTCCTCTGTGATGCTTTTACACTTGGTAGTAATAAAAGATGCTGTTATAGCGGGTTGGCAGTCTGACAAGAGCAGGATGTTGCTGCTAGTCTTTATGGTTGTCAGATATTCTACCGCCATCTTTATTGCTACCACTTCCCCATAATAGTTGTTACCTATGAGGGAGACTGGTTGCTCAAGACATATAGGTGTAGATTTAAGTCCACCCACATAAACCACTGCAGCAGCTCCCGAAGGACCAGGATTACCATAGGCTGACCCGTCTGTGAAGACTATAGTCCTACCGTCCGGCTGTTCACTAAGCACTGAGCTTATTCGAACACTTTGGGCGGACTTTGTGTTGGCAAAATCTTCGTTATGGATGGTTGCCTTCGTAGGTTGGAAGATGTCTACATCCTGGTGATGGTAATAGTGCTGTATATACTTGTTAGGTTGTGTGGGGCATCTATGAAGTCTCAGTCTGGCTGTTATGATATTAAAGCAGGAGGGGGTCTTCTCAGTTTGAGATGACCCACCCCATCTCAAAAATTCCCTGGCAATGGGGTCTGACTCAGTGTGGGTAGCTATTCTCACACCCTCTTGAGCCTGCCTGCTTCTTAGTAAAATATCAAGCGGTAGTACACCAGCCAGTACTTCTAATGAGTCAGTGCTAGTTGAGTTGAGGCATCCGGTTGCTCTAAGTAGTGCTGCCCTCTGGACTGGTGCATAGGCAGAAACAGCTTTCTCGGTAACTGCAGCCAGAGCACTAATGCTGGTTTCGAAGTGCGGTATCACCAACGCTTTGTACAGCATGGTGAATACCTCTTGGCTACAGCCCGATTTGCTGGAAGTGAAATTGTTTATGCCCGCAAGAGCACCGAATGCAGATTTTTTCTTATTTTCGATATGTAGATTAAATTTAAGTTCGTTATCTATGGTGAATCCAAGAATCTTCTTGTGGGATACCACCTGGAGTTTCCGGCCGTCGATAAAGATATTAATATCGGGGCTAGTGATACCAGGTGGACTGAAGACCATTACCTCGGTTTTTTCAGGGGCGATCTCCATGTTCCATCTTTTGCACCATTTGTTGGTTAATTGATTCAAGTCCGTGTTGATGAGTTTCTCTATCTCTTTCAAGTCAGCTCCACATGCCCATATTGTGTTGTCATCTGCAAAGCCAGCCTTCTCCGACCCTATGTTGTCCATGGAGTCTGCCGTGTAGAGATTACAGAGAAGCGGAGACAACACGGACCCCTGAGGGATGCCCACCACTGATGGCAGTAGGGGAGTAGTGTGGTTGTTGACAGATATAGAGAATTGCCTATTAGTTAAGTATTCACTGATGTACACTAACAGGCGTCCATTGATTCCCTTCTGGGCTAGTTTGTAGATGAGCCCCTCCCTAAACACCCGTTCAAAACAGCTCTCGTAATCTAATACTGCTGCGATGACATATTCTCCTCTATTCCACGCCTCCTGGATGGACTGCACCAATCTAATCACAGTCTGTGAACAGGATCTATGTTCCCTGTAAGCATCCTGGAAGGCACAGTAAGAGGATGTAGTCTCGCTTATCCATGATAACCTTGGGCTGACTACCCTTTGTAGGATTTTCCCAACTTGAGCTTCAAGTGTTATAGGGCGATAGGATCTGTCTGAATTATAGTTATTTTTGTTAGGTTTACCTAGCATAATCTTTGGATCAATTCTAAATTCCTGGGGAAGCTGACCTTCCGCCCAGCATTTCTGTGAGAGAAGCCAAATTGATTTATGTAGTGTGATCCCCCCTTTTTTGATAAAAATACTCAAAATTTTTTCCCTAGGACTAGGAGCAGTTTTAGCTGGTGTTTTCTCAATAGCTGCTATTATTTCATCAAATTCTATGTCCTTGTTAAAAGGTTCGCAAGTCTGATTGTAATTAGTGTTTTTAATTTTGATTTTTTCAAATTGGACAGATTCTTTGGCCTTTCTCACAACAAAGTTGTACCATTCATCATACCGCTGTACTGGCAGATGTTGCTTGCCATATTGCTTAACCATAGTTTCTGCAATGTCCTCATCGGTATGATGAATGTTACCATTTCCATCTATAATTGGTTGGACTATTTTCTTACCCTTTTTGGTTTGAGTTTTCATTACAGTTTTCCATATCATATTTGGGTTACCCAGATCAAGCTCTTCGAAGAGATCATCCCAATAGCTAGATTCAGCTTTATGTGCACTCTCTGCGAACTCTTCTGCGAGCCTGGTATAGGTTTCCCAATTATGAGGGTCACTGCGCTTGTTATAACGGCGTTTTGCCCTTCTCAGAGCTTTAACTTGTTGATTTAAATTGTCGTTCCACCACCCTTTGCTCTTAGAACAAATTTTTTTCTTAGGTATGATGTCGTTTATGACTTTGAGCATTATCGAGCATAGGGAGGTGTAAGCTTCTTCAACATTGGCAGCAATAACGTTTTGTTGCCAGTTAAGACAAAGTTTTTCCATTTCAGAAACAAATTTTTCCCAATTTGCATTTTTCAAATCATAATATTCCCTGACTTCCTCCTTCCCGGCCTGGCCGACGCTGAATGAGATAAGTTTGTGATCTGATTTCAAATAGATCTCATCCCGCACCGCCCACTCCGAGATCTTGGATGTCAGTGAGCCGGAGCCGATGGTTAAATCGATGATAGTTTCATTTCTAGTGAACTGATGGTTGTTGAAAATGTGTAAGTCATGGATCATGGCAAACTCTGCAATAGTGCTTCCCAATTTGTTAATAGAACAGTCATTCCATAAGGGATGTCTCCCATTAAAATCCCCTGTAAAAAGTACTGGAAGCTTGCTATGTAAAGCAGAGGTTGCCACTCTAGAAAATTTATCCCATGATTCAATGTTTCCTGGGGGTATATAAACTGAACATAGAAGAAAAGCGAGGTCTTTACAATAGACATTTGCCCAAGCTGCCTCTATGTCATTTCTCATGAGATCATTTCTTTTTACCACCTTTGTGTCTGGTGATGCTATAATGGCTGCCCCGCCCCCCTCCCTGCCTTGTCTGATAGAGGAAATCCAAGTCCAGTCTTTTAGACCGGCTCTTTGGATTGATTCAGCTGTAGGGTGCCAGATTTCTGTAATGCAAAATATAGATGCTTCAGGAGAGATATGTTTGATGTATTTAGCCGAGGTGTTGATAGAACGTATGTTAGCTTGGAATATTTTCATTGTCACTAGCAGAGAAAGTAAGAGAGTAGCAGCCACTATAGTTATGGAGTTACTATACATTAGTGCTCCTTTTGAGCTTTAAATCAATATAATAAATGCACTTATTGGAGCTAGCTTTGTGGTTTTCTCCACAGTTGTTACACTTAGTTGAATTGGTACACTTATTCTTATGTGCACCACCACAGTTTTCGCACTTAGCTTTGTTAGTGCAAGCCTTCGCCACGTGCCCGTAAAATTGGCAACGGAAGCACCGGGTTACTTTGTGCTTGGCTGTGTTGATTGCTTCCACTAACAAAATTTTATTACCAATAGTTAATTTTGTTTTGAATAAGATAGACAGATCAGTATGATTACTACATGTGGCAGCCACTATAGGCATGCCCTTACCAGTATCCCTGTATTTGAATCTTCTTATAGATACACTTATACCTGATTGTTGCTCAACTACTTGTTTCAGTTCTTCTGGATTTATACTTGTAGGGACGTTCCTTATGATACAACGGGATGTGGGGGTAGTGTCGTGTATGTCAAGTTGTTTGCCACTTCCTCCAAACGCTGATTCAGGCCAGTCCCTGCTGAGGAGTTCCTTTTGTTCTGGGTCAGCGTAGTGAATTGCAATTCCTCCTCTGCAAAGCTGATAAGTGTGGGTTATTTTAACTTGGGATTTATGTTTGAAAATTTCTTTTTTGATTTTATCACTATCCTTGAATAGGCCTGGGTTTTTCAAGTTGTCGATGATTAAAATGTTCTTTGGTAGATTTTGACTCACAGTGCTATTGATAGCACTCTTGCTACTATGTTTAGCTTGAGAAATCTTAGGTGGACTCAAATTATTAGCCAGATTGTTTTGCTTATCCGAAGGAGAGACCGTGTTCTGAGGCTTAAGCTTTATATCAGCATTTATGCTGTTGAGTATGCAGTAAGGGCAGTTGAAGACAGTCTCTTCTTGCGCATATAATTTGAGTAACGGGCAGTCTTCCTCGCTATTACCTAGACCCAGACAGTTAGAATGCCACCATTGCTCACAATTTGAGCAGTTCAGAAATATACTATCTAAATCTTTATTACATGGACAGGAGTCCTTTTCCTTTGATTTGAGAATGGTAGCCTTTTTAGCTTTTGACTTCGATTTTACAGGCATTCCAAGCTGTCTGGAAGCTGGTTTAACATGTACCTGTACAGTTACCAAGTGAGTTGGTTATTTGGCAAAGATAAAAATACTCTATGTGTATATATATATTTATAAAAAGGTTTATATAAAAAAGAAAGCTTTGTAAAAATAGACTCTGTAAAAATAGACTTTTCAATCCTAACACATATAAAAATAACTAAAATGTGCCAATCTAAATCGGCCACAACAAATCATACAATGGTATATCCTTATTAGTTACTAGATACACTACGAACCTTGCCCTACTGGATAATTAGTCCTACTCTAGCAATGTTGCAGTAAAATACACACAGTGCAGCACGCAAAGCAGGGAAAGCAGGTAAAGCACTAACTACACTAAAAGCAGGTGATACACAGCTAACTCATAGGAAAAAAATTCTTACTTTATCAAGGAAATCATTAGCTTCTAAATGCTGTACACCACTCGTCTAATTTAGCTGAAACAATGTCGCATAGACTTATCAAAAACGAAAACAAAATGGCACCAGAGAGGTGACCATGCAGTGGCGGGCGACGCCCCAGAAATGCAATAAAGTTGCTTGAATTATACTTCTTAGGTAAATAGTATCAAAGTTAGCTGTAGCGTGGAATGATTATTGAGTAGGCTACTGTATAACTTACAGATAAAAATATCAAAACCTGCTTTTTACTAGACAGTCACTAGGTTTTTTAAGAAATATTTGTATTGGTCAAAAAAGATAAAAATATATATTAAAAGATCCGGAGGATCTATACCTCCAGCTAAGATTATAAGAAACAGCTGGGCACACAAAGCTGGGCACACACTGGGTCCTCAGGTTCCCGTGACAAACGAATTTCCAATGGAAATTTCCCGGGCAAAATGGCTGCAATGGCGGACACGAGGTGGATCTTGTTGGTCACGTATTCCAACTTTCCCGGTGGTTTTAGTCCGTTGAAGGGTCGCGTTGGATTCTTGGCACCTCCAGCGAGTTATAGGCGGTCTGTGTAGTTATGTAGAATGTTCAGACTAGCTGTAAATACACAAAAATAAAGTTATTTTTCGGAGCTCAATTTTTCCGTCTTACACTTTGCGCATGCGCTCTCTCTCTAGGTATGCCTAGGATTCATCCTATGGCATGCAGAATTTTTCTTAGGAAATACATCCTATAAATAAATACAATACAGATTTACGATTAACAGGGTTCAAGGCTCGAGTTAAGGCTCAGCTGGAAAGTAACATTTTTGTAAAAAATTGGATGTATTTCCACGCCCTGTGATCGTACAAAATGGATGTGGGGGGGGGGGGGTTAGCCTATTAGGCGACTTCTGAAAGAAAACTCAACAAATATGGAAGATTTATTTTACAACTGAATTGCCAAATGAATAGGCGCAGTGCATGGCAAAATATGTTAGGCCATCAAGTCTTTTTTTTGAACTGATACCCTTCTAAGATATGACATCTATTAAAAAAGGTGCATCATCACCAACGTGCAAAACTCAATGTTTTTGCTATAAATCGGGCATCAATGGTCTACATGACCTGTAATAAATAGGTATAAGGGACGTTATTATCACAATACTAATGACATTGCTGACTTTTTAAAGTTAGTTTCCATGCGTTATACAAAAAATAATCGAAATAAATTAGTATTGGATGGAGGGGGGGATAGAATGGAGGGGGGATAACATGTATGTAAGACATGATAAGACATGCTACTGTACTTGAATTTATTCTTATGACTTCAAATTTTCCCATTTTTCATTTTCCAGGGATATTATATCCAGTTTCTTACTGGGGTACTGAGTTCAGTTTTTTCAAATACACGAGTTCTTGTAAATTTGTTCCATCGTTAAGACATAAATCCCCCCTCCATCCTATCCCCCCTCCATCCAATATTACTTTATTTAGATTATTTTTTGTATAACTAGCTGTAAGTTACTCACTTCGAGAGCCATGTTAGATTTTGAAACATATGGCTCTCAAACGGAGAAGTGAACAGCTGATCAATAGTGACCTTTGAAATTGAATTAAGTCGATCCGCGGCTTACTTTTGGTCTCTAACTGTGTCTTACATCAGTATCATCAATCCGTGTAAGTATTGGAGCGCTGGAGTACTTCTTTTTCGATCAAGACTTGTAAATTGTTCATCGAGTTAAAGTTTTACAGACCTATTTCCAATATGGCGGTTTGCTAGGTGCGAGATACGCAACGAACGAAATGAATTTTGAGAATTAGTTAGGTTCGGACAACCTCCGGAGATTTACGAAAATGTCCGAGCAAAAACCGCCATATTGGAATTTGGCAGTAAAACGATTCCCTCGACTAACAATTACAAGTCTTGATCGAAAAAGAAGTACTCCAGCGCTCCAATACTTACACGGATTGATGATACTGATGTAAGACACAGTTAGAGACCAAAAGTAAGCCGCGGATCGACTTAATTCGATTTCAAAGGTCACGATCATTGAGCTGTCCAAATGCTCCGTGGGAAAGCTATTATATCAAAATCCAAATAGCTTTCGCAGGAAGTAAGCTGTAAGCAGTAACCAATAGACTCGAGTAAACCCTGGGAGTTACTGTACATAGCTAAAGATAAGTCAGGTTGGTTGAGTAACCTAGAAGGAATATTATTACTCAGTATTTGGTGTTATTGTTTATCAGGTACATACTGTACTCCCCCCAACTAATATTTGACACTATATTATATTTCATGTTTTTGCGATTTTGAAGTTTCGCGAATCTAAATTTTTGCTAATTTCCAGTCTGCTGAAATTTTGCGGCTTTTTATTCTTGTTGGTTTGTAACTTTTTCAGCTTTTTTTCTTATTTCTTTGATAAAAATCTTTTAGGACCAGAAATAGATTTAATAAAGTACCTTCCTACCTTTTATCACCAAGCACTGGACAAAAATATAGTATAAATAAATAGAATCATTTTTAGCTGAAAGTGAAATCGAAAAATTGCAATTATACAACAGTGATCTCCAAAGGATTCTTTTTCAACTTGGTGCAAAGTTTCCATTTTCACAATTCAGACCAAAATTGATTTTTCTCATTTTCAAGTGGGTCCAAATGGATTTTCAGGTTTTCAGCGCCCACTTGCGTTTGCACAGGGAGATCACTGTATAATATTTGTCTCATCACATCATTTTTTTTATTTAAGGTTCTCACGACTCATTCAGCTGTCATTTAGACAAGACAGGAGAATTATCACCAGACAACGAAAAAGCCATTTTCGACCTATGTAAGATATTTGGCAATATGGCTAAAGATATAATTTACAATTGGTCCGTTACACAGAGTAAGACATTTACAGAACAACTCAATGCTGGGATACGTTATTTTGATATGAGATCCACTTCTAAACCAGGATGTGAAGACATAGTGTTCTGTCATGGAATGTATGGCGATAAAATTGAGGATTCCCTACGAGAGATTGACCAGTTTTTGATCGATCATCCAAAGGAGGTTGTTTTACTCGATTTCAATCACTTTTACAAAATGAATGATTTCCATCATAAACAATTCCTCTCGATGATTCTTGAAGTTTTCGGGTACAAAATGTGTCCTTTTCTCGATGTGGAGAGCGTAACCCTTGAAATGCTTTGGGAGAACAATCTTCAAGTTATCATTTTCTACAAGGATAAAATTGCCTCAGATTACCTTCAGTTCTTTCCTACACAATCGATAATGTCTCCTTGGGCCAACACACCTGATTGCGACAAACTCCTCAAATTTCTTGATGACATATACTCCAATGGACACGATCCTGAGAAATTTTGGGTGTGGCAGGGGGTTTGTACACCAGATGTTGGAACAATCATGAGATATTTAACAGGCTCTTTAAAAACAGATATAGCAAAAAAGGTGGCGCCTAGATTTATGTCATGGTTGAGCGATAAGAAAACAGGGCCAACTGGTATCAATATTTGTATTTTAGATTTTATTGAAATGGAGAATTATGTTCCATGTGTTTTGGCCTTGAATGCCAAATGATTCAATTTGCTATCAATCATTATATATTTTTATTAGTATTGCATGACCATTATTGTATTTAAGGCGGCAGTCATGCGCCTGGATTACAAGAATGTGTTGTTTGGTCCAATCCTATATCTAGTATGTGATTATTTACAAGTGGTAACATATTGTTATAGTCTCAACTTTTTTTGTGGATGATGTTCAGTGTTTTTATCATACCTAAAAAGTATGATATTGTTGTCAGCTTGATGGGTTGGTGGGCGGCATTTCACTTTCTTGTCATCGTAATCCCAGGAAAATAGGCCAAATTAACCGAATCTACAGTATATATTACATAATTTCTCCAAATGATCCAGGCAAGTTCAGTTTGGTTCAGCATTTCTGATTCAAGTTATCTCATACAGTGTCATAGGTTAGATGGATCACAGTATCGCAGTTAACGACAGGATAACATGCTACTAATGTGTTTTTAAGAGGCATAAAATCTTAACATTTTAAGTTTAACAAGACAGTAAATAACATTCCAAATCGCATGTCTATATTTATAGTTGAGACACACACTTCAGCAGAAATATGTAGGAAATATATATGTATTTGAAGTCATGTATTTATAACCTGGTTGCTCTAAAGCAGTAGTATGACGCAATATACAATACCCGTTCAAGTTATCTTTTGAGTCCGGGTTGCTATCTGACAATCATGAATCCCACTCAGTCTGATATATGTTCATAAAACAATCTCGTCTTATTTTACAACTCGGAAGATTTTATATTTCCCTTGTTTCACACAAGATCTCAAATATTGATATTGAATATGACATTTATATTTTGCTAATGTGGCTTATTGTCAGTGATTCTGACTTGCTGACATTGATACCAATTTGTGTCACTAGGGGGATGTTGATCAGGTAATTGTAGAATCAGATCCAAAACATCAATAAGTAAGTGGTTTAAGTCGAGATAAGCAGTAACAATTCATATTAATATATTATATTACAAATGTATCGTATCATATTATTTAATTTATTGTGTAGATTTTTAGTATGTATAAACTATTGTATTCTCTATTCATAGTTATAAAATAATCTATATTATATTACATTATATCGTATCATATTATTTTATTTATTATGTAGATTTTTAGTATGTATAAATCATTGTATTCTTTATTCATAGTTATTAATAATATCATATTCTATATTTCTTATTTATCTTGCAATGTTGTGGTCAGTTTGCTATAGAAGTGAGTATGTGGGCAGGCATCCCATAGTCTCGCACCACCCACCCCCCTCCTTCCTACTTCCCCTCTTGGAGAGGTAATCTGTTAAGGGGGAGAGGAGGTCATAAAGAATATATATTATATTAATTATATTATATTATACATATATTATTATATTATTATTATATCATATTATTATGTCATATAAATGACATGTATTTTCCCTACCTCAGCAATGTATTTTCCAGTTAACAGTGTTTGGGGTGACATCACATCAATGTCATCATGTCAAATGAATCAGAGGGTAAAGTTGCCAGAATTTAATGAATATGAGAGTGTTGAATTTAAGTTGGCTTAAGTTATTGTATCTACCTCATTTTTTCTTTATTTAGACTATTAAGCAATAACTTTAATAGTCTAAAAAATAAAGAAAATATATAATTATTATCGACATCTCCATTTCGTTGACTGTCAAAGTCAGATCCCTCCATTATAAATATTGGCACATGGTCTCACTTTCACGGATATGATTTGAACAGCTACCCTCTGGAGAGGTCAACAATTGTATTTTGTATACTGTGCACTGTACATTTCGCATACTGTATGTTGAAAGAAATAAAGATTATGATATATTTATACAAAATCATTATATTATTTATGTTTATTGGATTTCATAATTTCATACAAATTACAACAACAATGTTCTTATGTAGTTGGTATCTAGATGAATACAAAAATACATCAAATATTAAACAGATGTATAAAGATAAATAATGTGAACAAATTCTGAATTAATTGTTAATTCATCATCAAGTTAAAATACTAGGCTAATAAATATTCAAAATCTGTAAAAATTACAAACATGAACATGCTTTACAGTAGGCCTACAACCCTAAACAGGCCTTTACAGGTTACAAAATTCTATTTTATTAATGAAAGGAAATCCCCAAGTCCTAAAAATGTAAGGAAAATCATCTTTTTCCAAAGGACTTCATTTATGCTTAAATTCTATATACCCTTGCTACAAGGATGAGAAAAATATTTGAACTGTAAGTTTTTCAGATAACAGACTTTTATTGAGTTTTCAATGAGGATGGGTTGTATCTGTAAAATGTGCGTTTATACTTCAATTGTCTGTATAACTCTTTCTAATCAAAATACCTCTGAAAAGATCTACTTATGCAATTGAGTGCTGCATCTCCAGCAAAAATATTCTTTAAATCCATGACATATTCTGTAAAAGCAAAATAAAATGAGCTAAATTCTATGGACAAAATAAGGACATTATTGGCCTACTCTGTAGCTAATAATTGAACAATATTGTGCATTAGCACATATGAATTAGAATCATTAAAATGTCTCCCTTGAAGTCGTCTTCAAGTGTTGATTATAATAAATTCTTCGCATTGATCATTTATCCATTCATCATCGCAATTATTTCAATTTTCTCCATTATCACGTTGTATATGTACAGGTCATTGTAAACAAGTTTTACTTGGCAGGGATACAAAAGAACATTCTTACGTAGGTAGAGTTGAACAAATGTTCTCATCTGGTTCAGAATTTGGAACTTCAGCATATGACACTGATGCTAACTGATACTGAGTCCATATCTAAAAATGATGCTAATGCTCTTATGAAACTTTATTACATGTACAAGTTTGTAAACTAATGGAATAAATAAGAAATATAAAAAGATTTCGTTCTAACATTTGCGCCACACTGCGTCCTTCGTATCTGTTTCTGGTTTTGAATATGGGGCCTGCTGTCTTTATTTTGGCAATTTGGAGAGACATAAGAGAAATATGAATGAGTATCCTTCCATAAGAGAGAGAGTGTTCAGAGGAATATTTTTCAAAATCTGAAAATTTTACTCCTATTCTCAGTTTGTACTCAAAATAAATATACTCTCGCTATACTAATGTAGCGCTTTCCTGAGTTTTCGCCACCGATTCCTGCTGGTCCTCGTACCAAGCTAACATCTCTTCACTGAATGCCTCCGCGAGTGACTCCCCAGCATCATATGTGAAACTACCACTGCTATCTGCTGGCCGGTTTAGAGGGGATTCAGATTCAGACCTGGAAGATGTATTAATATAGGTTAGGTTTCTATTGTATGCACACAGAGTTGAACCATCACATTAGACCTGTGTGAATTGTACACTCAAAAGAGAATCCCTCAAAATATGATAGACTTATCACTTGTGAACCCTTTTTTGATCTCACTGTTTGTCCGAAAGATTCTTTATTTTTTATGGTAATTTCCCAGAACAATGTACAGTAAAGCACGGGCTACTAGAGTTTCCACGTATATGGAGTATGACCGGTTCTTAGGCTACGAATATGACCTGTTTTGGAAAGTCATGAGAGGCACAGCTGCTTAAAAATGGAAAATAAAGGTTAATTTCTATATTATCCTTTTTGAAATTGTGTTTGTTGAATATAGTTTATGCTGTATTTAATAGTAATGTAACAAAAAAAGTTAAACATGAGCTATTTTAGCAATGTAACTGTTCATAATGGAATATCAATCAGAAAGTACAGAATATCACAGTAGAAAAAAAAATCCCAAACCTTTTTATGGCTAACCTGAACAAGATCTCCAAATCTCAATTTATATGATCCCCCGTAGAGTGAGCAAGAGAAGGATTTATATTTTCCCAGAGGATACGCTTGTGAAATGTCATGGAAGACAACATTTCACAACCATATTCTCCAATAATGGGGCACCAGTGATATTCGTATTCTCAAAAATTCAAAGATGTATCATATTTGGACAGAGCAGGCTAAATTATTTAAAATATTATTAAATTATTATTAAATGAGTTGCTTATTAAATATTAAGTTAATCCAGTAGCCGGCAGTCATTAGTTGCATTCGCAAATACAAGGTTCGTCAGTAAGTGGAGATTAAAGGATCCCGATGCAAGATCTTTGATACATTATGTTACATAATGTCCACTTGGACTTGAATGAGTGTCTATGCTATGGTATGTGATACGAAGGAGAACAAGGAACCATACTCGACAGTAAAACCTGTATAAAAAGCAGTTGAAACTACAGTTAAAGCTGTTGAACTACATAAAAAGCCGTTAATACTACATATAAAGCAGTTGAACTACATAAAATGCTGTTAATACTACATATAAGGCAGTTGAACTACATAAAAAGCTGTTAATACTACATATAAAGCAGTTGAACGACATAAAAAGCTGTTAATACTTTATATAAAGCAGTTGAACTACATAAAAAGCTATTAATATTACATGTAAAGCAGTTAAACTACATAAAAAGCAGCTAATACTACATAGAAAGCAGTTAAAATCTCATAGAAACTGAGAAAGTGGTAAATATACCATAGAAAGCAGTTGAAACTATGAAGAAAGCGGTTAAAACTACACAGAAAGCAGTGTAAACTACAAAGAAAGCAGTAAATTCTACATAAAAAGCAGTTAAATAGAGAACCATTAATTATTATGATTAATTATTGATAATTTCTATAATTGACCTTTTCTACTTTATAAGTTTACATTTATTAATCATTATGTAAAAGCTTTTTATTTTATAATTCAATGTGACGTGAGGACATGCACTGGTGGATGCTGGGTAATCTGATATCATAACCAAAATGAACCCACCATTTTTGAAGATCATAATCCTTCTTGGTATCCAGCTCTTTGTTTAATAGTGATAACTAACCAAACAAATCAAAATCAATTTATTTTTATATTTAATTTAATATTTATTATTTTAATAGTAGTTATATAGTTAGTAATATCACGATTGAGTCTGACTATATTTATTTAATTTGGTTTTTGTTACGTGATCGGTAATATAATCAACTTTTACTATATTCATTTACAAGTATATCTATGATCATTGCCATAACAAACAAGTTGTTAAACAAACAACCTATTAAACAAACAACTTATCAAACAATTACAAATTATGTTGACTTGAAATCTTCGTGTACAAAAGGATAAAGTATGGGGTACATGCGAAAAGTACTGTACATGTATGTTACATATTTACAATTTACTGTACAACATATAAAATTGCCAGAGACCATATCAAAACACAAGTTGACTACAGCTTTGTCATTGAGCCTTCATTCTCCATCCGTCAAAAATATACCATGCAAAAATAACATCAACAGCCGTGCTTAACATAACCAAACTCCCAATGAAACAATGTGATTAATTTTTGCATTGGATATTGTAGTTTAATTTTGAAGTCTTACAGTTGGTACTTGAGTTTTGATTTTGTATTTCAATTTGAGGCTTCACTAATGCGTCTTACACCAAATGTATTGTATTATGAAGAGTGAATGGGAGTAGGGAAAAAAGGAGAATTGGAAGGGAAATGGCCCGTAGATAGAACACCAGTTTGCTTTTTGACATATAGGAAAAGGAGTGGGTAAGTGGGGAGGGGGGTTGTTGAGGATTTGTGGTGAAATCAAATAAGTCCAGTATTCTCTCCGGGTCCAAACACCATGCCAGCATGGGTCTGTGGGTGTTACAAAAGAAAAAAAAAATGGGTGTTACAAGACAGACAAGAAATCACAAATAGACTATGGTCATGTGCGCATTAAATGTGTTTGTCATATAATCTAAAAACTATGCACGTTGTGATGAAGCATGATCATTATATAAGTTGTGATGACATTGCATGAAATATTAATTAGATATCCCTTTATATTCTGAATTGGTAATTATAAAGCACAGAATTGCTTTTAAAAGACAATACTCAGAAATTGAATCTCAACATATGCTACAACAATCTCTCGAAAATATTGAAATTAAGTCCCTGATAGCTCTCAATTCTACAAAAATGAACATATTGATAACATGTCTTTAGATTATCACAAGATAATTTCACTCTTTTTAGTATTTGAAAACATAACTTGGAATATTGTATATAAGGCAAAACATAAAACTGTGACAGTAATGTCCAGTAACTGATTCATTCATTGAGCATTGATATAAAACTATTCCAAAATCACTCAAATTCATTCTATTCATAAATTACCCAAGAGCCCAACCAGAATTTCATCCATTAGACAACATGTGTTGATATTAAAATATGTCCTAATTTAGGAGACTTTATTACGGGACTTTAAATTTGAAATCGAAAATGAGATTATGCAGCAACATGTGACAACAGGTATGCCAAAAGAATGTCTGCTGGTCAAAATCAAATTACTGATAAGTTGTGATGTTACTTCTCTTATTTTTTCAGGACTAAGTTCGTTTCACAACTAAACATATATTATCAAGGGCCCTTTATTGGCATTAAACACAATTAAGTCATTGCCTAGTAGCCTTTGAAACAAGACATTAGAATTTCCCATTTTGAATAAGAAAACTACATTCCAACCAGTCCATAAAGTAATTTCGACCAGCTGGTTTCCTTAACAGGAGTACTTGTAAGGAACTATATAATGCCACAACAAAACATTAAAATATACAGTCTTGCATACATATCCAAGGAAGCAGCTATTACACCTGGTAAAATAGAGCTATTTCTTAAGTGCTGTGTGCAGGACTGTACATCAGCTATCAGATCATCACTAAAATAAGTTACTAAACAAGGGGCTGTTTCAAAAGTTCCACACTAATATTTAAGTAATTCATTTTGTTAGGTAGTTCACTATCCTCTATCCATCATTGTTAGCTTTCGGAAGTAAAAATTTCAAATGATAAAAATTCAAACTTTTAAAGAGTCAATAAATCAGTCTATAACCACCCCATCCAATCCAGTTAACAAAATTGAAATTAGTGTGAAACATATGAAACAGTCCTTTAGGTGTGATCTAAACAAACCAAAAAGTGAATAGAAACTAAAACATAAGCTTGAAGCAAAAATAGATAAACTTTGCAGTGATGGTGCTATGGTCTTTTTTGCAGTTTTGCAATTAAAGCATTTATTACAATGAAAATATAAAATAATCAAAATTAATATCAACTCATAAAATATAGATTAAAAATAATACAAATCCTTATGATATTACACATTTTAGAGAAACATGAGAGACATGTTACACAGAGCAGTACACAGCAAATTCAAATATCTAGACCAGTTTATTTTCAGGATTGTTGTCAAATATTTCTTGTCAACAAAATGTCGACAGAGAAGTAGACATGATGGATTTCTATATTTGGAAATCGAATTCCTTCCCTTCTACTAGTATTTAGTTTTTTAAATTGACAGGATTTGATAACAATCCTGAAATGACACACAGGAGGTTTGTATATCCTTATACACATGACCTCAATTGACCTATCAAATGTTGATGTGACTCATAAACAGAGAATCATGGGACAATGAAACCAGCTCTAAATGCGAATACACACAACATCTATAAACATATAGCGCAGGGGGAGTGTAGGCAGTGATCAGAATGTTCTAGGCAGGGAGTAAAACCAGTTATCAGAATACTCCAGACTGATAATTTCCAGAATAGCTGCTCCCATTCACTACTGACCTATTATTATATGGTCCATTACTTTTCCCGCTGTCTTTGGATTGTGGATGTTGGTACGCCCCCTGGTGACTGCCTTGTGTACCTTGAGGGGTCGAGTATGTGGACTGAGGGTTTTGGGGGCTATTATAGGCACTATTTCCATGTGGCGAATGAACACTTTGTGGTGTGCTGTATTGAGGTCTGGAACTACTTCCATAGTTGTCTGCTGGAATTGGCCGCCTGACTTGATATGGGGACCCCGGGGTTTCCTGATGGGGAGATTGTCTATAGGGGGAGGGTGACCGCGATCTACGCCCCCTGGCCACTTGAGGAGAAGGAGGCATATGCCGAGATAAATTTGGAGATGACCCTCCCTCACTGTCATATTGATCATTACTCCGTTGCCTCCTAAATTTTTCACTATATTTATACACATCGGCCATTTCAAATGGTTTTGATGTTTCTAGGCCATAGTTTTTGACTGCAATAGAGTGGTGTTGAGAAGAGGTCCCTCTGGGAGGGGCTGCTGGTATATTTGAGGACTCCTTAGAATCGTATGAATAAGCAGGCAAATGTTTAACCATAGGAGGTGTTGGCGTGTCTGCTATAAATCTAGGTTTATAACTATAGTCTCCAGATTCTGATGAGTCCCTACTGGAAGAGACATGTGGGCCTCTATTGTCATACCAATTGGGACCTGATGGGTAATAACCAGAGCTTATCTGTCCAGGTAGGGGACCCATGTACCTGGGACTCCTTGGCCTGTCATCCTGAGGTATATTTGTTGGGGTACGAGGGTCACTATAGTCACTGCTATCTGAAAAGTGCCGGGTTATAGGGCTTAATTGTGATTGTGAGGGTTCATCCCCTGGCTCTGCGTGAGAGTCACGTTTGCAGCCAAATCTTGATGGGGTAAGCTCAGAGAGCATGACAATATCTCCCCTTCGATCTAAACTTCCGTATCTATCAACATCTGATACACTAGAAGAACTTTCATTGCTTCTTCTATATGCTCTATCTAGACTTGCGGTACGCTGTTGATGTCTACGCTTGTCGCGACTAGACACCTCAGATTCACTAAACACATCAACCCCACTACCATAGGGATCAGGGGTCATGGGGGTTGGGGTTTTCAACTCATCGGCACTATCATAGCGTCCAGTTCTTGCTGTGTTAATGTGATACACATGGCCGGGACCATGTTCTTGACTAGGGCTCCTAATGTTGTCGTATTCTGACATATTTGATGAGTTACTTTGGCTGCGTTGGGAGAAAGTTGGGTACATTTGGGAGCGATATGACGTCCTTGTTGTGTACACCGAGTTTGGCACATAGGCTTGACCTTGGCTGGTGTAGTGCCTGAAACAATACAAGAAAAGTTAATGTATTATTCTGAGTCTAGTTTCGTAATTGATTATCACCTTGACAACAAGGTATAGAAACAGAAAAACATAATTTCCAGCAAAACGCAACAAGAGTCATAATGACTGACCAATTGAAAAGTAAATGTAATATAATAGAAAGCTTGAAAAATGTTAACAGATTATAGAAAAACGAATGTGTTTTTATACATACTATAGTTGCTTGTTGTCATGCATGTAGTGATGCATGCATGTAGTGGAGCCATGCATTTCTGCATGTATTTGTTTTTCTGTATGCTATCTCTTTACAAGACGATATGATATAATTGGTCAACTGTAATGGGTAAATGACCAATATTTAAAATGCCATGATTATTTCATGTGATCTCTGTGTCATTCTTGAATGAAGTGTCGATTTCTTGGTTTTTCTCTACCAAGTGTAGACCACTACATACTTGGATGAACTGTCTGCTTTCTATAAAATTTAAGCACCTTCTTCATGCCTATTTAGCGTATTTAGCTCTAAACTTGAATGAGTGTCTGATTTTCAGGCATTTCTATACAACTCTTGATGTTTACCAAAACCTTTTCTATACTATTCCTTGCTAATTCCAATCTTTCCCATGCAATTTGTGACAAAATGTGTGACATTTTTAATCATTGCATGTACCTTCCGGGAACAGGGCTAGGGGTGGACCCCCGGGAGTCCTGTCTATGCGACTGCATGTTGCCGCTAGATGGGTGCTGAGAGGGTGGCGTCATGTGCCTCTCCTCCCTATGACGATGCGTGTCCTCCCTCTGACGCGAAATATCCTCCCTTTGTCTTGAGATTTCCTCCCTTTGTCTGGAGATATCCTCCCTTTGTCTGGAGATATCCTCCCGTCTTGGGATGTCAATGTCATCGCCCCTTCGCTGATTATCTTGCATCTGTCGTTGTTGTTGGATTTCAACAACCTCCACCTGTAAACATATTAAGTTTTTCATTAACTCTCTGATGTGGTAATTATTTTTTGAAATGCAATTTTGGGTGGGAATCATTTTAAAGGAAATTGCTTTATATGGGTGACATCTTTTAACTGAAGTAAAAACTTTTTTTTAGAAGCAACCACTGATCATCTTAACATGTCAAACATAATAAACTCGAAAATATAATTGTTTGTTGCCCTTTAGCGTCACAAATGTTTCTATAATATATCATCTTTATAATTTAATAATACCAACCTGAGGTGAGGTCACGACCTTGACCTTTTGTGCATCCTTGACCTGTCGTCTGACCAATGGAGAAGGTACAGGACTGGCGTATTCAGTTTCTGAAAAAACACAGTCACAATATTAACTATATTACAAACTTAGGTAGGTACCACACCAGTTTAACCTGTAATTCAATTTAAACCACTATTTTAACATTTTTGTTTTACATATTATCATTTCCAATCTATAAACTGGACTTCTTCATTTCAATATGGAATTTTGAAGGCAATTTGTCCCGCTCATGAACAATTGGAATTCGTTAATTTGTTTTGGTCAGAAAGTTTTTATCAAGTTAACTAAAAAGGTGAATGAAAGTGTTGGAATCTTAGCCATTGTCTATCGTTTACATGTATTTCAAAAAATAAAATACAAGTCTTAGAACACAATCAAGAAATATTTCATTGTACTAAAATTCTCTATAAAGCAACATACATGCAAAACAACTTTCATTTTAAGCCACAAAACTAACCAACTGGTGGGAATGATTACATAAACTCGCAAATGTTCATAATTTTACAACTCTACTGATCAGACATACATGTTAGTAGTTCATGGGGGGGGGGCATTCAATGAATGTTATCCAAAAGCTCATACAGAGAAAGACAGAGCTGCATTATAATAACCAGTGTATGCTAGTAATAAAATAGGAATGAAATGCCCCCCCCCCCCCTCATTCCCTCAGTCAGAATAAAGAAAAATCTGAAAATATTACTGTTCCTGACATAAATAAAAATAAAGAAGCCTTGAATATAACAAATAAATCTAAAAAATCAAAACAAAATGACACGTTTAGCTCTTCTAGATGATATGTTCCAAGATCATCTAGCTATGAATACATACATGCACAAACATTGCAATGCATTTGTTGGCTAGTATAGATGGCATAACTAGGCTATTTTACGGGTTTTGAGGCATTCATAAAAGTGCACTGACATCTGACATTCTGACATATGGGTAAATTGCAACTACATCAGACATGTCATGTTTTCTTATGTATAGTTAGGGCTATGTGCTTTCTGAAATGTTGCCGATTTGTTTGGCAAAAGCATAGAAAGTGCAGGAATCTTCAACAGTTTTTAGCCTCTCTTATCATTGAGAAATAAAAAAAATAATGTCACCTTGTAGACATAGGCAAGGCATTAACATCCAAATTGTCACCACCTACCATTTGTTACAGACACTGATCACCAAATACCAACCACCAAACACCAACTGCCGAACACTGACCACAAAAACGTTGGAGACTATAACAATATATCACCACTTGTGTTGGTGACATAAAAAAAAGAAAATCAATTAGTTGGTATTAAGACCTACAATGTGCAACCATCAAAGAAAAATAGATATTCATTCAATGAGAAAAAAAATTAGGCAAAATAAATACCTGCAAAAAACTGTAATTTACACATATATGTAAACCATCTCCAGGGAAACACTGAGAAAGCCAACAATATATACAACAAGACAACATGAACTGACAATAAAAAATAAATAAATTCAGGAAAAAAGGATCAAAACTGTAAATAAAGTTAATATCTGAATGCTAGTACCCCTTTAAACAGGCAGGATTTCCTATTTATTCCACAAAGATGTATTAATAATTAAAGGGTCTTGTTTTTCTTAAACAATAGTTTTTGTTATTAACAAAAATCATTTTCCAGTTTTGCCATACTGAAACAAGGGAAGGCCCTTTAACATTGGAATTGAATTTCAACAAAAAATGGATGAAATGTTAGTCCTGCTTCAAGACCCTGGACCCCCCCCCCCCCCCTTATATATTTAACAACAGTTAGAGAGGAAATCCAGGATCTTGAAGCAAAACTAATGGGATGTTATATGGTATCTGAGGTATAGGGTGCCTGTTACGTAACAACTGAAATGTTAATAAATTAATAAATGGGGTTGAAGTGCAAGGGTTAACTACCAGGGAGCCACCTACCACTATCAATCATACTGTCCTCGGATGCACTCAGGTCTGAAAGGGTTAAACACATGTGAACAAGTTTACATGTGATTACAGGTCTACAATTGGTAATAGGTCTACCAGTGATTACATGTCTACACTTGGTTAAGGTCTACATCTGATTATACACTAATATGTGAACACAAATATAAAAGAAAGATGTGAACTGTGAAGTAATAACAATTCTGGATTTTGATAGGTTTAAGAGAAGGAAATATCTACATTTAGAAATGCTCATATTCAGAAAAATGATTCTATAAGTCAGCTTGCACATTCCTAATTTTGCTTGCACTTAATCAATTTTGTTTAGTTTCTCAAGCTGTACCGTTTCTTTTTAAAAAAATGCAATTCCAAAAAGAGGATAAAAGATTTATAAAGGAGTGTACAAAATGAATCACAAGTAATATTTTGTGACAAAACCTCGCAATATTTGAAATATAAAATCATGATTTCTGGAGAGCAGTTACACTAGAAGATTGTGAATGGCACTACACATTTCTACAGACTTGGGTTGGTAGAATTTAAATTGAACAATCTATGTTAAAACCATTAAAACCACTTCTATTACCAATACTATATTATCCCAGTATCTAACGATAACATTGGGTTCATTTCCTCTATAAATCAAGAGCCATAATGCCAAATTCAAGAAAATATCGCAATTGAAGAATCATGGGCAAAATACATTTTTCCAGAAATGGTGCCGGGAGTGGTAGAGAATACCCCTCTGGGGTGGACCCATTTCCTATATGTATACCATGGTTCATGATGCCAAATTAACTATGACATTTTTGCAATATATTCAAGTGAAAGATTGTATTTGGTGAATCATAGCCCAAAATTCATTCTAGTACCCAGGGGTCCCTTATAATCGTACATATTTTGTTTGTGTGTGTTGTGATATGTTAAATGTTTCAACACCCACCTTCTACTGAAGACTGGATTGTGATCTGATCTTTGCCATGTTGCAGGCGTAAAGCATTCAATTTCTTCTCTAGTTCTTTTAACTGAAAATATAATCAAAACCCATTCTGTATTGTAATATAATATTATTTACAAGTACAGTGTATTATTAGTTATTTATTATTTTATGATACATGTATACTGTACTTTTAATACTTGTTAAAGAATTAGATGTAAAATGTTATATTTATAACATATAAAAAACCTTGTTCAAAATCTAAAAGACATTTGCACTTGTCCACTATTCATTTCTCGTGGACATTATCTCAATACATTTCATAGAAACACATACAGAACAACAGACATCAACCACCGAACACATTCCACAAAAAAATTATAACATATGTATATGTACCTTCATGTGAGACTTCTGGTAGGTTTGCTTGCGTTTCTTTCTCATACTCTTCACAGCAGGTTCCTGAGCCAGTCTGTGTGCAGCACTAGTGATCTTGGCTTGAATCTCAAAATGAAGTTCCATAGAATTCAGCGCATCTTCTTCCTGATAAAAAAAGTTGGAGATTCGTGAATGGATAATGGATTTACTGCAACGATTTATGAATGAAATCAATTTCTTCGAAAATGAAACATGGGCTCTTAATCATATGCATTAGATTTCACATTTGACCTAACTGACCTTCATACATTTGTTGTTCACTCATATTTACTTCTGCTAATTCACTGATTTCAGAATTGTTGCAACTGTACCAAAAAATATCTTGCAGGAACACACAAATATACTAAAAATATGTTAAATTATTCCAGTAAATATTCAAATGAGGCCACAAAAAGGAGTTGTCAAGTTTCATATGAAAAAGTACATATGTGTGCGTGAAACAAATGTTATATTTTGAAATCCTACCTTGCTTGTGTTTTTATCAGAATTAATATACTTTGGTGACAAAGTAAATGCTGTCCCAATCCTGCGTCTAATAACAGGCACTGGGTCTTCGGGGTTAAGGGGGGTTTCTTTGGGTAGCTTCCCCGTAATCTCTCCCTCTTTTATACATAATAACTTCAATTCCTCAGTTTTCTTCCTCAGGGCCTCCTCTAAGGCCTCTTTACGAGCCTTTAGAGCAGCATACATGTCTCTCTGTGCTGCCTTAGTGGTTTCAGATTCTTCTATGCTTACTGCAATAAATAAACAAGGCATTAACATGCAGAATGTCACCACCTAACCAATTTTTACAGACACCAAGCACCAACTGCAACCAACTCCACACTTTGATGACATAAAAGTTCTTCTTTGTCTTGCACAATAGATACTTTTGTGTATGGGCAATTAGAAGCCCAATTGCTATGAACAAACCTTGAATTGTGAAATGAATGCGAAAATTGTGAAAACCTTTCAAAGAATTAGTACAAAATATTGACATTCACAGACAAAACAATGTATGAACATCCATTACGAAATTAATTTAGGCTAGTTCTCAATCTAAATGAACCTTAATTACTTAGTGATATTATTCCAGTGGTCAATATTCCCACTTACACTCTAATAGTGATGAACTTGATATTTTTGGCAAACTGGTCGAGCTTCCGTTGCGACTTAGATTGTCACCCGATGCGCTACTTGCGGCTAATGACGTGGTACTTATGGATAAATCAGCAGCTATCTCACTCATGCTTCGAACAGAGGGGAGGTTAGCCTGTAAAATGATATTTTTGACTATGTTTACAGGTAAATAGAGAATTTGATGCATTTTAGAATAGACTACATGTACATGTATACTATACAGATATATTGTATAGATCTAGAAAGCACATAGTTACAGCAGATAACTTTTTTGAAATTTACAGAGTACAGTATACAGAAAGTTTTTGTGAACATGTAACTTTTGCAAATATCTATGTGATCACAGAAAATGTGAAGTTCAATGTGAGAACCCTAAATATTCTGATGTCAAATAAGAGAACCCCAAATACTCTAATGTCAAATATGAAAGCCCCAAATACTGACCTTGCTTTGTTTCCTGTCCAAGTAGTACTTGTGTTGGTCTACTGCCATCTGCCATATACATTTTGTAAGGTTTGGAGTAGATGCAAACCACGCATAAACATTCACGTTACCAGGTCCGAATGTCCGTCTGCTCACAGAAACCCTGGAATCAAAAGTGAAAACCCTGAATATTTGTGTTCTCCAAATGTGATGAGAATATGTGTTTGGTCTTGTGGCAATCTACCAAATGAAATTGCTAAGGATTGCAGTCTATTTATAAGTGAATTGAAATGATGATCAAACTATAAAAGCAAGCCACCTAACTATTACAATAACAATAAACTAATCAAAGGATGAGTAAAGGAATCCAAAGGCTTCAAACAGAATACTGTGATAAATCAAAACAAACATTTTAAATGTTAATTGGCTTATTAATAATGCACATTGTACTTACAAACATACAAACATTCTGGTGGTTTTGGCTTCTGTAACAGTTAGACAGTATTGTCTCATATGCAGATATTTATAAAGGACTTATATTTTTTAATTACCTCATTAATTTAATCTCGAAGTTTGATCCCATGGGAAGATAAGGTTTCAATCATTGCCATATAAGACTCTTTTAAGACTCACATTTAAGATCAAAAGAGCTTACTATCAAATTGGAGGCAAACTGTTTTAACAATTCTCATTGACAATATGTTTAAAAATTTTTTCACAATTTAAAAATTACAAATTAAAGCCTTATTTCTTGTATAGCAATTTTTAACTTTTTAAAATTCTTTGGATTTTTAGGCAAATTTTTAAAATGGTCAAAAATTGTTACAACCTACTAAATGGATACTTGAAAATGTAAAACTGAATTGTAAAGGAGTTCATTTCAAGAATAAATGTCTCTAGAATATAGAACAAACAACATACATATGTGACTCATATAGTGAGTGATAAAATGGTTTAAATCCACGCCACCTTATAAAAGCTTGACATGAAAAGCTGCAGACCAATTCATACATGTACAAGCAATCCCCATATCAAAATATCTAACAAAAATAGTGTGAAACATACAGAAAAATATATAGAAAACATTAAAAAGAGTACAAAGTATAGAAAATTTTGAAAAAAATAAACATTGAAAAATGCTTTGGAAATATTGCATCCTTTAGAAAAAGTACAATAAAATATTTTTATGCTGCTTTACTTCAAACACTATTATTTTTATAATAATAATGAAATTCTATTGCATGATGTTAATCAGGAAACTTGAACTATGCCGTCCATGACAACCAGAATCCCAGTCTGGTGCAAAGCTCCAAGTTGTGGCTTACATTGAGCTGCTCCATCATTAGGTTGCTGATGAGTTTCTGAAGCTATGCATAAACTGATATTCAAAATAGGAAGCTATGTGAATCTAGAAAACTTACTGTGTAGTTGGATCAGAGATTGCGTCACAAAGATCGTCAAATTCCTCGATAGGTTCTTGGATGGCGTCCTCGTAAAGATTAAAACTGCTTATCGTATGTACGATTCTACACGCCAAGGCAAAACAAAATAAAATAATCCTAGACTAGTTGAATAGTTTGTTCTCTTGTGAGGGAATCAATGATTATATATTGACTTAGAATAGGGAGACTAGGCCATGTGAAGAAAATGAGAAATTTCAAAACTCTTCTATAAATATTCACCATGGAGACATTTTGTTTTTTTGTAATATTGTGAATATCATATTATCAAAGTCATATTATGAATTATTGATATTCATTATTCACCATACTTTTCAAACAAAAATATCTCTTATGTCTGAGTGTGTTCAAGAACCAATATGGCTAATAGCAAAAAACAGCCCAAGAACTAAATAGCCCAATTCTAAAAGGATGAGATTTTGACGCCATCTATACATCAAATGCACACAAAAAACATTTAGAATCATATTGTGTAATATTTGAGAACCATCATGGACTCCCTTACTAAGAACAATAAATCATAAATAGTGAGTTGTCACTACTTGAAAGCACTTTATTTACATTTTTAGTGTTAATGAAAATACTTCATTTCTATTTTAATATACATTTCAATCTAATTCATCTGCCATTCAGTATATATGTAATAGTTTATTTATCGAGATATTATTTTCAAATAACAAGTACTAGTAACGAATCATAAAATGTTCAACATTATTAACTTCGGTTACTGAATAAAATTTTAAAATTGTAATGATAAAAAATTAAAATTTGGTTGTTTTGAGTTTTCATGACAACATGCATGATGATTATGAAGCATTCAAGTCCCGCATACATTTTGCAAATGCCGCAACTTAAAATATGTAAATTAAAGTGCCTCCAAATGATGTAACGGAAGAGTGAATGGTGAGTAAATAATGATTACTCCCTGTCGTCTGCATGTGGGTGTTTGAATACTGCATTCTCCCTCTGGTAAATGTTCTAGCATGAAAAGCATCAGCGATACCTGGCTTTTTACCATTTGATCGCATCAAAATGAAAGCACTCGGAAGCAGCAATGCCCAAAGATGAAATGACAAGCATGATTTTGGTTATAAATAACTAGTATAGGTAACAGATACAGGAATATTGAAAAATCAACAAATGAAAAAATTGAAGATTTTTTTATTAAATCAACCGTTTATGGAACTTACTTACCTCTTAATTATATGCCATTACCTTAATAAATTGACTAGTCGAAAGGTCTAACACCCCTATTGAATGAACGGATTAGTGAATGAACTCGTCCAATACACTGCCTATCCATGCTTCATGCTACGACCTACTTCATATTACCGAGAGACCTCGAAGATACAAAAAAAAAAAATATAAAAAATTTCCCTCAAGCGGGGAAGGTGGGTGGGTCTCTGGTAATTAAGAGGTAAGTAAGTTCCATAAACGGTTGATTTAATAAAAAAAATCTTCAGTTTATATCACTTACTTCCCTCTTAATTATATGTCATAGCATGTAACATATTGGATAGGTGGGGTGAAAAAAGTTGTTGTGTACTTACTGCACCTGCTACAGGTCGCACACAGTTCCAGCCAGCATCACAGGTCCTAGCTTTCTAGCTTCATCTTGTAGGACTGTGACATCACGCAGATAAAAGTCGATAAAAGTGTTGTTGTGAGCCCAAGAGCAACTTTTCAATATTTCTGTTAGGCTAACATTCGACTGTACTGCATATGAGGCTGATAACGCTCTTATTTCATGTGCGTTAACTTTCCCAATTCTTCTACTCTCAGCTGTGGAATTCTTGTAGGTTAGAAGAATCAGATGTTTCATCCAGCTGGATTTCTGCTTCTAGAGCGGGACTTTGGTCTCCTATGGGGACTTCTGTGCTTGTCTCTGCTGCTACGAAGTGACGGGTCACGTGGTCTAGGCGTGTAACTAGAAGAGACACTAGTTTCACGACTGTAAGACCTACTACGCCTGCGTGGACTGTGTTCACCATGACGGTCATGATGACCTCTTCTCTCCGGCGTATAACGTCTGGGTTCTGGTCTCCTAGGGCTCCAAACTCTGTCCCGACTGCTCGAATGTCTCCCACGTCTCCTGGGGCTGCCACGTCTCAAAGGACTTGCACGTCTCTTGGGACTTGCATGGCTTCTGGTGTCCTGATATCTCCAAGGGCTAGGGCTCCTGCGGGGACTCCTGTAACTTTTGCGGGGACTTCTGACAAATTCATTCCTTGCCGCTGGGCTTGGTCTGTCCGACCTTGCCTCCTGTTGAAGCCTCCGAGGACTGCTGTGCCTGGTGTTTACACTGTTCCTTGGGCTTTCTTGTTGCTTGTTTTGAAGCATTTCGTTCATCAGAACAGAAATCTTCTCCTTGAGAAAGTTGTCAGTCAGACTCATGTTGAAGTTCTGGTCTGCACTCTCTTGAATCCCTGCTTGCTCTGTGTCTCCATCAGTGCATTCTCCTTCTTCTTGCTGGAGAATGATAGCAGGACATTTCTCTGAGGTGTTCATGTAAACGTCCTCGTTGTTCATCATCTTGACGAATATAGTTGCTCCAAGTTCTGTTGAAGGCTTGTAGCGAGATGGTCGTCGAAAGGTAATATGAAGTAGGTCGTAGCATGAAGCATGGATAGGCAGTGTATTGGACGAGTTCATTCACTAATCCGTTCATTCAATAGGGGTGTTAGACCTTTCGACTAGTCAATTTATTAAGGTAATGGCATATAATTAAGAGGGAAGTAAGTGATATAAACGATAGTGTTTGTCCTACAAGAATCATGAATAATAAAAAAAAAAGGACTCATTTTTATACTATGGATTGGTTTATCAGTTCACTGAACAACAGCAACAACAACAATAACAAAACAATTCAAATATAAACAATTACAACATCAGGTTAACAAAAACAACATCACCATCTGAACCCAGGAGTACAGAAATTCAAAAAATCTTTCACATATGAAATAAAAACAAAGAATGCAGTATACTTTCACCCAACGTGCAAACAGATTAATTCAATATAAATTGGTGAATATAAAATGTTATTACGAAGTCTGAATAAAATAAAATGTGGTCGTTGTGTGGTTGAATAAGCACTGGATTTGACAAAATCTTGGGAATATTTCACCACAACATAACATACTTTTAAGCAGTAAAGGTACACTTTTATTGTTGGAACAGAGTGAGATTTCTGTTTTACCATCGAATATATGTGACAATTTAAGAAAATTGCATACAATGCACATTATGCATTTTCAAACTGAAATTGTGTATCTTGTATCTTGGGATCTCTCCTAGGCATCATCAAAGGTGACATCTTTTGAAAGAAAGAAATATGAATAATGCCAAATGCAGTCTCCCTATGTCACAATGTCATAGGTCCTGTAAATAAACCTAAGCATAATTCAAATCTTTTCAGGACCCTTGTGTTTCGACTAAAAAGAAAGCGTTATATCATAATGGTCTTTCAGAAAACCTCAGTCTGTTCAATCAACAATGAATGACCAATAATTTGAATCCCAAAAAACCCTCACCTTTTTGGATCATGAACCTCGATTGAAAACTTCTTGTCTCTGAAGTAAAGATTTTCTAGATGTTTCCATGCAAATACCTGAAAGTAAAGAGTATATAGGTAAAGAAATAATTACAAAAAAGGAAATGTTAAGTATTGAACATTATATGAGTAAACTGCCCATTACATGTATTAAAACTATAGGTTGAAATATTAGGTTGTTGAACCTCAAATTTTAGACGAGTAATTTGAAAGTCTACACTCTCTTTTTAGAGTTAAAACAGTAATATTATATAATGCATATTTTAGGTTAGGAGAAATAATGAATCCATTTCAATGTATTCTTTTGGCACAACTTATCATAATCAAATAATGTAAGAACGAACCCGTCTTGGAGTCTTTTTATCATTGTGGTCATACTGAGCTATGCCTCTATGACTGAGACCCAACCACCATGGAATGCTATTCTTGTCCTGCAACACAGAATGAAAGTGGTTAGTAAATAATGATTACTCCCTGTCCTGTCGTCTGCTTAAGGGTACTCAAATACTATATTCTCCCCCTGTTAAAGGCTCTATTCATATTCAGCATGCATTGTTCTCAAATGATATTCTAATTCCTGGCTATTCCTCTATGACTCATCTATCAAAGTTATGACTCACATGAACCTTTAGCTTAGCTTTAACGCCCATTCTTTCTGTCTCAGCTTGAGTAATGACCAATAGGGATTAAGACCTCTCATGTTTTTTTCTGATTCCGTATGGATTAATTATTGACATAAATCACTTCTCCTTAATTAGAACTAAGCTAAGCGAAGGCTTTCTTGAAACTGTGAATGCGGTATGAGATGCAGTGTTCTCCCCAGGATTTCATCTCAAGTGGGTGCAAAATTCTTAATTTTACAATTTAGAATTTGGTCAAAATGTGCCTATTTTTCATGATTTTTCTCATTTTCAAGTGGGTGCAAATGGATTCTTAGATGGGTGCATTCGTATTAAAATCTCAAGTGGGTGTAGTGCCCGCTTGCTTTAATGCTGGGGGGATCACTGAGTCGGGTATGCATGTCCTGAGTTAACCTGTTTTATGTCTCAATACAATGAATCTAGAAAGTAATTGGCAAATAAATATGAAACTAGCATGGGCTTTGGAAGATGACCTAATTATGTATAAATATATTAATGTCTTGGGATTGTATAAATATGCAATACTCAAGAGTCCAAAGACCTTGTAAAATTACTTGACCTTCTTGCCTTACATCAGTGTCAGGGCCTAGTGATCTAAATTAGGCTCTAAACAGGAGAAACAAATACAGTTTAAATGCTGATACTATCTAAATGACTTATAAATAATTAAACACTGAAACTAAAACTAATTTATATTCAATTGCAGAATAAATTCAAAAATTCCACAGAGACAAAGTTGATGGCATTGATATTACCCGGAAATAACCAGAGGGACTGATCGTGGAAATAACTATCGGAATTGATGAGTTATCAGTTTATAATTATTTAATGAGAAATTGGTTTCATCCATCAAGCTGTCAATGAGGCTTTGACGTGTAATGAATTCATGACGACAAAGGTTGGTTTTAAATGCCAATTTAATATGAGTAGACTAAAGAAACCAAGAAATGAGGGAGATATTATTCTAAAATTATATCAAGCTACTGCATAATCCATGAAACTGACACTTAATTTGATATAAAACTTGAACTAAAGTAATAAAGATGCTTTAAATTGTCTAGAGGTCTAGGCATCTGTATGTAATATTAACAAATGGGCTTAAAATAATATGAAACTAAAATCTTCGTCAATGTCAATAAGTGGGTCTATGCAAATTGAAAAAAAATCATATATGTTATTTCAGATTCAATATACGTACAGTAAAATCTGTGTTAGTGAACACCTATCTATTAAGTTTTGAGTAAAAAGCCTCTCTGTCATGAATACCTTCCTACAGCGAACACAAGCTCTTCGCTATAAACAGGTTTTACTGTACATATAACATGTGTCCTTCCTATCCAATAACCAAAAATTTTTCAGTAACACACAATATCCATGTAGCCTTTTAATAACATCAAAACCGGATATTACTTTGTTAAAACATAAAACACAGAAATCAATCCACATAAAAACAACACAAGACTAATACTAATGCATCCAAAGATAATAACCCATGGTTAACTAAAATTCAATCGCTAAACTGTTTTTGTGTATTAAGACAAAATTTGGATAAAATAATATAGATAGCATGGCTCATAGGCGTGAGGCACAGATCAATGTTAGCGGACATAATATAATGTACGATGCTGTGAGATATTGCAAAGACATTTCTCCACGGTGCATCAACAGATTGAATCATAACACTCCATAGAGTCATTTTGGGACCATTCTATACAGCAACAAATATTTCTTCAAGACTAATGTTATTTTCAAGACTTTTATTGTATTTTATCGTAATTCTTCGCTATAAAAATAACAGTCAGGGGAACTGGAAATTTATTCAATTTTTCGTAAAATTTGTAAAATAGACCCCGAATCTTGTTCAATTTTCCTGTCCATGGCCAAGAGGTGACTAACAGGATAGTTCTCTTATATATCACTATATTCTCACATTCCAATTGTCATTCATGATTTAACAATAACATTATACTAAAAGAATCTGAATTCTAGTTGTAAGTTACAATAAGCAGGCCAATTAATATAAGCTGTGGCTCTTATTCGATCATTTCACAGTGAGTTACGAATGAATCCATAAAACCGTGAGTTAAAAAAATGAATAAATATTTCAAATGAGCCAAAAAGGCATACTGTAATATTTTTGAGAAATGGGTCATTAGAATTAAATGATATAATTTTTTAAGAAATAACTTACCTTGACTTCGTAGTAATGTATCCCATATGTTGGTAGACTCTCCACTATATTCATATAACTGAAAAAAACGACAACATCATCATCAAAAAAAAGTCATGATATAATCATTAACAAATATGGATTATTAACATTTATTTGTTAATGCCAATATCTGTCATGTTTATTTACTTATTTACTATTCAAAACAATGTAGAATAATATTACACCAATTTCAAAACCAAACATGTCATTTATGATTGCATTGCTAAGTTCATTTTTATGTTTTTTAAAGATAAGGCTAATCATTTTAATGTTATATCTTTACTTTTACATCAAAGCATTTGAGAATTTTGTTGATTTGATTTTGATGAGCATGAATTTTACAAAATAAACTTATAGTCGTAACTGGAAGGAAAAAAAATCTTAATATGATATAAATCAAATACATGTACAAATAACAATGGGTGTTCTGTTCAATGAGTCCCGGCCCGTGTAAGTCTTATATATTCAATCATTCATTGAATTCAATCAGGCATTTTTATCTGCATGGGATTTTGAATCTTCTGTATAGTGTGCTGTGATAATTCAATTACCATGATGAATGTCCTTTCAAAGTCAAGACTACTCTAATGATATAAGTAATGAACAAAAGAGTATGCATTCATCTATACTTTATATGTTTATTAATGAGGGTCATATTGCCTCTGATGAGTCATTTTTCAAATTAACTTAAGTGTGAATACATAACTTGAAAGAGGATTGTAATGAAATTCCATACAGAAGATGTCTATTAATATAAACCAATAGGAAAATTAATTAGAAAGAGAATTCCACCTGCCAGTGAAAATGCTGCAGAATGAAATGTTAAAGCTATGAAATATTAAAATCAACTTTAGTTCAACATGCGAGACAGGGATATTTTCATATTTTTCCTTTTTGATTTGAATTTTTGCAATTATATTAAGAAATCAGTCAATGCCTAATTTGAAATCAATTGATAAGAAAATATTCTTTGGTTTATTGATTAGTCTGGCCTTCATCCATCAATTTGCAGACATCTCAATTGCATTATGGGATATAAACTCTGGATTCCAGGAAAACTGACCTATTAATATCCATGAACTATCTAGATAATCAAGGCTTCTAGGCACTAGGGATGGCACCTCTATTATAAATAGTTTAATCAAATTGTGAAGTCAATACTCTAACTGTAGAGTCTATGGTAAGGCCTCTTAAAAGGTCTCAATTTCCTGCTGAATACAGTGACCAGTTATGTTTTAGGCCTCTATTCTAAAACATATGATTAAATAAACTAAAGCAAGAAATCACTAAGGTAAAACCTGTTTATAGAATCTGAAAACCCTCTCAAAAGTAGGCATTTCAAAAGTAGGCACCTCAAAACTGAGCACTTTTTTATCCTATTTCAAGGTCCCATTTATGTTATTTAAACATCTTAGTCCACATTGAACACCTGTCATTTTGAACAATATCCTCATGATATTAACTTCTTCATTTTATATGTTTGATAGATGCTGATTTGAAACAAGACTGGAAGTAACAAGAGAACATATATTTGACTTACTTTACAATGGAAAGCCCCCTAGAAAGTCCGGCAAGTTTCTTATATTGTGCTATGACTTGATCCTCACTGAAAAACAATGACAATTATCAATTATATTTTGATCTAATCTTGATCACTAGAAATCTAATCAACAATACATGATTTCAGTAAGCTGTGTAAGTTCATTTATGTGTCAACTTCAAACAACAAAGTCAGTTTTTAGAAAAATACATAATTACACTTCAAAATGTGTATCTATTTGAAAATCACCTAATGATTTGATTAACTAATAATTACAAAGTAATTAAGCTTCAAAAACGTATTTCATATTTAGTTGAAAATTGACTATTTATACTGTACTTACCAGAACTGTATAGATGGATGTTCCTGTAGTGCACTGGTTGGCAATATTGGAAGTTTCTTCAGATCTAGTTTAGCTGCTTGGTCACTGAAAGTACATTAATATAACTAACATCAGATTCACTAGAGAGCTATCATAAAAGGTCTACTAACTAAACATTTTGGTTCCCCTTCTGAAATAAACAATGGAGTACATGCGGAAATAAATTTATGTGCAAGTACAGTAAAACCTGCGAACAGGGAATACTCTTGGGACTGGAGGAAAGTTTCCTTGTTCAGAGGTTTTCCCTATAGAGAGGGGCTGCACTTTCAGTAAACTCAAACTTGCCGAATAAGCATATTTGTATATATATGGGTTTTGATTGATTGTACCAATGCCGACTCCATACTTGGTTGCTAGACCTTGTAGTGACATCTTGCAGGCCTGTAGCCAGGATTTGCAAAGGGGGGGGGTTCAGTTTTCAAAAATTTCCAGGGGGGTTCACATTTGACAATTTTGGTGAAAATGGTGAAAAACTGCATGATTTTGAAAGAATTTTTGGCCAGGGGGGGGGTTCGCTGTCTTGGAAGATGTATGAAGGTCTCCCGCCTCCCTCCATTGGCTGAGGGAAAGGAGTGTTCTCCCTATGTTGATTCTAGCTGCTACTGCTGGCGTCTGATGATGTCTAGTTGGTGTAATTATTGATATGATGTGTAGAGATATGTTGCTAAGATCTGAATTTCAAGTTTCATCAACCCCATTTTATATCATTGATAATTTAGAAGTTTGGATCAGTAAAAGATTTAAAGAGATTTGGCTCAACATGACACATGTACTTATCGGTTATCTCCATAAAACAATTGTGTCAGTCCCTGAGTCCCTAGATCATCACAACTGATTTGATGTAATTAGGTTAATATATCAGGGTAATTAACAGTGGGTGGGATGCTACATCCCTTAAACAATTGGCTTATCTTAATCTCAATCATATTAATCCAAGTTTTTAAAATCAAATATTGGCTTAGGACTTTAACACCTCTGAAAAATAATGGAATATACAGTGTCACCAATATTCCTTGTTTACAGGTGAATTTTCATAATTTGCCCCAAAATAGTGTTCCTTGTTCCCTGTTCACAGGTTTTCCCTACAGAGAGGGTCCGTTAACATGTAAGTCAATAGAAAAATATTCGGTTCTTTTGAAAAGCATTCCTTGTTCATAGGTTTTCCCTACAGAGAGGTATTCCATCAGACAGGTTCTACTGTATATTACATAATTTTTCAGTTGGGAGATTTACCTCTATATGTAACTATCTGTTAAAGTGGTTACATTAGTACAAGGTCCCAAGTGTGATTCTTCTAGTCTGCCTTTAACACTGTATTTATTAGTTAGCTAGACTATTGATTGTCTAAGGTTTTGTAGCTTATTGTTCAGGAATAGCAATGACAAATATTTAGAGTCCTAGACATTAGGTTCAACATAAATTCTCAATCATACTGAGTCATCCCAGATTGCAGCTCATTTACGTTCTTTTATTTTTCCCTTCGATTTTTATGGAATGGGCATTAACTTTGTACTTTTCAATTGAAGAAATTCAAGACTTGACAAAATATCCACATTTTTCGTGATATTTCAAAACCTCAACTGGGTGAAAAATTGATTCTTCGCTGGTTTCCCAGTACATTTCCGAATTGTCAACTTGTTGTTGCTCCAAATTTCAACAATAAAGTGTGACGCCCCGTTACTTGAAGGCTGAATAAACCACTGTAGTTTAAATTACCATCCCATTCACTCTGTACATAGGTCTATTCCCCTAACCAGAGTTCAGAATAGACAGATAGCCAGGGAGACTGTGCTACCCACAACAAATAAATAATAAACAATAGCCTCTAGGGAAATAATAATAATGAGAAGTATAGATAATATTCCAGGAAGACATAGAGTTAAGCCGGATTATCTCAGCTGTCCACTTGGGAAATGTTTATTATACCAAAGTGGCGTCCCATACTGACACCTAGTTCCTTACAATGCTAGAGTTCATGTCTGAGTGGTCAATAACAGTGAATTCTAGAATTATGTATATTAGGTGATGTACACTGTTCAATATATAAAGATATTGCATACTCCAGCTACAGGCGTCAAGACAACCTCCAAGCAGTTTTGTCCAATGCTGCATGGGGATGAAAAGCTTGGCCACAAAGATCCCGGTAGCTTGTGGGGGTCTTGGGGTTTGCAGAGTGACATATACTGATGTATAATAAATTCAACTACACCTCATTTTCCCCTCTTGCCCCATCCTACTTAGTACTATATATGCCATCTTTGGCTTTGTAACCCCCAAGGGAAGTGGAAGGAATTATTACAGTCTGTTGAACATGATTAACCCTTCACAAGAGCTTGACTCCATCTACAGTACAAGGCATTATTCTTTCATCTACTTCATGTCTAATGAAAACATATTTTTAGACAATCATGATAGTAAATTTTCTACCAAAATATAAGACACTTATTTCACTGACTCCCATAAAGACCAAGTTTGGTACATTAGAGATTGTTAAGATCGTATCAGCCCTAATACGTATACTGTAAAATCAACAGTAGCAGTCAGAGGGCAGTGTAGCTGGCCTATCGGAATCAGAGTAAATGTCCTAATTATGATATTATGATATTAAAACCACGGGCCTGTCCTTAATCCCTTGTGAAACTTCTCCACTGATGATGTAGGTGAAGATCAAATTGATACAGATATCAAGAGACTTGGGCCCATTAGATCAGATCTGTATAATGTCAAAATAGGCCAACATCAAATCTCCTGTGTAGTACTTTTCTAATATTTTAGGTGAAGATCAAGCAGAAGGGCACCAAGAGACACAAAGTTCCATCAGATTATATGCAAATTGGGTCAAGATCAAATCATTGGGAGAAATAAGTTGTGGTTTTGGGGCCACCCTACAGTTTCAGAGCGACAAAGATGTAATCCGGCCAACTAGCGCATAATTCAAATTCAATCCCTAGATCTGAATTCCTAATAAAAATGACGGACCCTGGATACTTTAACTCCAAATTTTCAATAGAAGATGTCATTAAAATAAGACATGCTCATCAATTCATATAAGGTAACCTTTTTTTAAGGAATGTTGTCTTCAATACAGTGCCATCTATCTGCATTCTTCTAAAGATTTCTTTCCTCCAGGGGGAGCAAAATTCTCATTCATTTCCACTCTGATCAAAATTTGGTCAAAATATGCAAATTTTTCATAATTTTTCTCAGGTGAGTGCGGCCATACCTGTCATTAAAATAAAAAATTCATATAGGCGCCATGACATAGGGCTTATTGTGAAAAATGTTAAATGTTGTATCTTAGAACAACCAAATTGTGTTATTGCGTTTTGATGTTGCATTTGGCCAATAGGTGGCAGCACGAGACGAACAGTTTCGAGACTATTGTACCAAGATGGAGATTTCTAAATAGTGAAATATATTAGAGAGTAAAACCATATTTTATGTTGTTTATTAGATATACATGGACATACAGGGTGATCCAGAAGTAACGTCAAAGACATTGTAATTTCAAAAGTATTCATCAGATCTTCATGAAATTTGGTATACATGTACCCACAACATTTCTGAGTTACCATCTCAAAGATTGGAATTCAATCATTTCATTGGTTGAAATTATGGTTGCTATAGTAACCCGATATCGCGTAACCCGGGGCAAATTGAAGAGAAACCATAACGTTTTTGTGAATTTCTCTAATTTAAAAAGTCAGTAACATTTGAAAATGTTCATTGTTTGTTTTCTATGATTTTTATATTTGTTGCCATGGTAACAAATATGTAATAGTTGTGATGTCACAATAGGCATTCATAAAAAGCTTTCAATTTCTTTGAATTGCTTCCATCATCCATGACAAATACTAACATGACCAAGGACACTAACCCACCCAATTCAAGATGGCGCCAAGTCAGAGTAAAATAGAGCAAAGAACAAACATTAAGTTCTGTGTAAAGTTGGGGAAAGGTGTAAAAGAGACTATAAGACAGATAAAGAAGGCATATGGTAAAGCTGCCATTGCTGAGAGAAACATTTACAGGTGGTTTAACAAGTATTCCAGTGGATATGATGAAGTGGTAGACAAGCAGCGAGGAGGCAGGCCAGTGTCGTCATTCGATGATCAAACCATCAAAGCAATTGAAGCTGATGTTATGGACAATAGGCAAATTTCTATCAGAGAATTGGCTGAAAAACACGATCTGAGCTATGGGACTGTGCAACGGATACTGACAAAGAACTGTCTGTTAAAGAAGGTGTCTGCTAAATGGTTGCCGCATGACTTGACACAGGAGCAGAAAGACCGGCGTGTTAAGGCTTCAAGGGACTTTCTTGCAAAATATCGGAGAGATGGAGATGACTTTCTTAACAAGATCATTACGAGTGACGAATCATTGCTATCATTCTACATCCCAGAGACCACGCAACAAAGTTCATCGTGGAAACATGACAACTCCCCAACACCAACCAAGCCTAAAATAGTACCAGGAATTCCACAAAAGAAACAAATGGTTGTGACATTCTTTGACATTAGAGGAATGGTGTTAACCCATTTTGTTCCCATTGGCCAGAGAATTAATGCCGTTTACATTGCAAAGGTAAGATATCATTTGTTCTAATAATACATCATACTGTGAATTTTATTTTTAAATTAAAGTATTTAAATGTTGTTCACTGTCAATATAATTATAACTCCATGGCCATGATTCAAATCCAAATCCAATCAATGAAACAACTGGTTTAACAACCATTAAACATTTGTTTTTCAGGTTCTGAAGCGTGATCTTCAACGTTCCCTGAGGAAAAAGCGTCCCGGACATCTGCAGCAGTTTATCTTGCATTGGGACAATGCCCCTACGCACACTGCAATCCTGACCAGCAACACAGTCCAAACACTTGGATTTCAACAACTTGAACATGCCCCTTATTCACCTGATCTTGCCCCCAGTGACTTTTATTTGTATGGGGAACTAAAAAGAAACCTTAGTGGAAATAATTTTCAATCCTGTGAGGAATTGAAAAATGCCGTAGTACTAGCCCTACAAGGAATGAGTTC